CATTCAAACCATCTTTGCATGACAAACCAGAATATATATGGTTAAGGGGTGGGGATCTTGACCACTTACAAGATATTAGAACTTTCTTAAATGGCAGGGGGTGGGGTGACCCCTGGGGAATAACACTGTATTTCATTTGATGTGCTTGATCATGACAAACCAGAATATAGATGGTTTAGGGGTGGGGATCTCGACCATTTACAAGATATTAGAACTTTCTCAAATGGCAGGGGGTCGGGATGACCCCTGGGGACTAACCCTATATATCATTCAAACCATCTTAGCATGACAAACCAGAATATATATGGTTTAGGGGTGGGGATCTTGACCACTTACAAGATATTAGAACTTTCTTAAATGGGAAGGGGCTGGGGTGACCTCTGGGGACTAACCCTGAATTTCATTTGATGTGCTTTATCATGACAAATAGGAATATATATGGTTTAGGGGTGGGGATCTCGACCATTTACAAGATATTAGAACTTTCTCAAATGGCAGGGGGTCGGGATGACCCCTGGGGACTAACCCTGTATATCATTCAAACCATCTTAGCATGACAAACCAGAATATATATGGTTTAGGGGTGGGGATCTTGACCATTTACAAGGTATTAGAACTTTCTTAAATGGCAGGGGGTGGGGGTGACCCCTGGGGACTAACCTTTAATTTCATATAATGTGCTTTATCATTTAGAACATTTTCAATTAAAAAGATTGTGTCTATCACAAACGGTTTTCAATTTATAATCATTTGAAAATTTTAAAAAATAAAATCCCATAGGGTTCTATAGTAAAACCCTCTTTTCTTTTTGCCCCTCAAAATACCCCTTTATAAACCCCATTGCACAAACAAAACCCTGATTGCACCACTAGACATGTTAGTCTAACATATTGTGAAACCCTAAGTTAATCTGACAAGTGGTTTTGGAGAACGGGTGCGGACAAGTTCAAATTTAAAAGCGGCGGAAGAAGAAGAAGAAGAAGAAGAAGAAGAAGAAGAAGAAGAAGAAGAAGAAGAAGAAGAAGAAGGAGAAGAAGAAGAAGAAGAAGAAGAAGAACTGAGCAAAAACAATAAGTCTTCCCAAACTTTGTTTGGGAGACTTAATTATATGAATTAATGAGATATCAGATGATATACATTGTTGACTTTAAGTGATTTCCTTTTTATAAAGAGTAAAGTAACATTTAAAATTTCAACCATATTAGTTTCCATATGTGTACTGTTTTTTATTCAATAAATTTATTTTGGATCAACTTTTTATTTGTGTTACATTTAATTTTTTTTTTTTTAAACTGAAAACACAATGAAGTCAATTTTTAACTACAATAAAATGTACAAACAAATACTAATAGCTACATGTACTTAATGTTTAAGTACTAACATTTATATGCTTTAAGTACTAACATTTACATGGTTTAAGTACTAACATTAACATGGTTTAAGTACAAAGTCGTTGGTTCGTCTGTATATTTGTTTTATGTAAATTGTTTCGTTAGGTAGTTAGTTTTCTCAATTGAATCGTTTCATACTTTTCAAGTTGTGGCCTTTTATAGCCGACAATACTGTACAGGTTTTTCTCAATGTTGAAGGCCATACGGTTGCCTATATTGGCCTGAGAACACAGTTATTTCGTAGTGCATTTCTTATAGACATAATACGAAAATTAAAAAAAAATCACTCCTGCTCTATCCAAAACAGATTTTTACAGTGTAGTGTCCTACTTTTGGGACAAATTATATCAAAATTATAGAAAAGACTATCGGCTCTAACTCAAAATATGGACAATTTTATGTTAAGGGGGTCTATAATTCAGTTTGACAGCTTCAGACATACTAATTTTTGACCTTTTCAAACTGGACCAAATCATTCTTTTCCTTAAAATTCATGCCTCAAATTTTTTTTACATGTAATTTCAACCCCCTTCTTACTATTTTTTGCATAAAATATAAAGAAACAAGAAATGATTGTAACAGGATGCTGTTACGAAGTCTCCCAAACGAAGCTCCCATAATTCGTAATTCCCAGGGTCGCCTGACATTGGGCAACGTCCAGTGAAAATTGGTTTGGTCCAGTAAAGTTATATGCATTAGTGATGCCTGGGGACTAACCTTGTATATCATTCAAATCATCTTGGCATGACAAACCAGAATATATATGGTTTAGGGGTGGGGATCTCGACCATTTACAAGATACTAGAATATTGGGGGTGGGGAGGAACCCCTGGGGACTGGCCCTATACGTCATTCAAGTGTTCATTACATGACGAACAGGAATATATATGGTTTAGGGGTGGGGATCTAAACCATTTACAAGATATTAGAACTTTCTCAAATGGCAGGGGGTCGGGATGACCCCTGGGGACTAACCTTGTATATCATTCAAACCATCTTCGCATGACAAACCAGAATATATATGGTTTAGGGGTGGGGATCTTGACCACTTAGAAGATATTAGAACTTTCTTAAATAGCAGGGGGTGGGGTGACCCCTGGAGACTAACCCTGTATTTCATTTGATGTGCTTTATCATGACAAACCAGAATATATATGGTTTAGGGGTGGGGATCTCGACCATTTACAAGATATTAGAACTTTCTCAAATGGCAAGGGGTGGGGGTGACCGCTGGGGACTAACCCTGTATAAAATTTGATGTGCTTTATCATGACAAACCAGAATATATATGGTTTAGGGGTGGGGATCTCAACCATTTACAAGATATTAGAACTTTCTCAAATGGCAGGGGGTCGGGATGACCCCTGGGGACTTACCCTGTATATCATTCAAATCATCTCAGCATGACAAACCAGAATATATATGGTTTAGGGGTGGGGATCTTGACCACGTAGAAGATATTAGAACTTTCTTAAATGGCAGGGGGTGGGGTGACCCCTGGAGACTAACCCTGTATTTCATTTGATGTGCTTTATCATGACAAACCAGAATATATATGGTTTAGGGGTGGGGATCTCGACCATTTACAAGATATTAGAACTTTCTCAAATGGCAAGGGGTGGGGGTGACCGCTGGGGACTAACCCTGTATAAAATTTGATGTGCTTTATCATGACAAACCAGAATATATATGGTTTAGGGGTGGGGATCTCAACCATTTACAAGATATTAGAACTTTCTCAAATGGCAGGGGGTCGGGATGACCCCTGGGGACTTACCCTGTATATCATTCAAATCATCTCAGCATGACAAACCAGAATATATATGGTTTAGGGGTGGGGATCTTGACCACGTAGAAGATATTAGAACTTTCTTAAATGGCAGGGGGTGGGGGTGACCCCTGGGGACTTACCCTGTATAACATTTGATGTGCTTTATCATGACAAACCAGAATATATATGGTTTAGGGGTGGGGATCTCGACCATTTACAAGATATTAGAACTTTCTAAAATGGCAGGGGGTTGGGATGACACCTGGGGACTAACCCTGTATATCATTCAAACCATCTTAGCATGAAAAACCAGAATATATATGGTTTAGGGGTGGGGATCTTAACCACTTTCAAGATATTAGAACTTTCTTAAATGGCAGGGGGTGGGGGTAACCCCTGGGGACTAACCCTGTATAACATTTGATGTGCTTTATCATGACAAACCAGAATATATATGGTTTAGGGGTGGGGGATCTCAACCATTTACAAGATATTAGAACTTTCTCAAATGGCAGGGGGTCGGGATGACCCCTGGGGACTTACCCTGTATATCATTCAAATCATCTCAGCATGACAAACCAGAATATATATGGTTTAGGGGTGGGGATCTTGACCACTTAGAAGATATTAGAACTTTCTTAAATGGCAGGGGGTGGGGATGACCCCTGGGGACTAACCCTGTATATCATTCAAACCATCTTAGCATGACAAACCAGAATATATATGGTTTAGGGGTGGGGATCTTGACCACTTACAAGGTATTAGAACTTTCTTAAATGGCAGGGGGTGGGGGTGACCCCTGGGGTCTAACCCTGTATTTCATTTAATGGGCTTTATCATTTAGAACATTTTCAATTAAAAAGTTTGTGTCTATCACGAACGGTTTTCAATTTATATTCATTTGAAAATTTAAAAAAATAAAATCCCATAGGGTTCTATAGTAAAACCCTCTTTTCTTTTTGCCCCTCAAAGTACCCCTTTATAAACCCCATTGCAAAAACAAAACCCTGATTGCACCACTAGACATGTTAGTCTAACATATTGTGAAACCCTAAGTTAATCCGACAAGCGGTTTTGGAGAACGGGTGCGTACAAGTTCAAATTTAAAAGCAGCGGAAGAAGAAGAAGAAGAAGAAGAAGAAGAATAATAATAATAATAAGAACTGAGCAAAAACAATAAGTCTTCCCAAACTTCGTTTGGGAGACTTAATAAATTTGGAAGGTGTATGAAAAAAATTTGCATGTGCATACTAGGGGGACTATTTGTAGACGACAAAAATCTAAGGACGATAACTGTGTCCCTGGACCTAATTGCTGACATCCACTTCATTTGAACTTTTGTGGATAGTTGTCTCATTGGCAATCATACTACATTTCCTTATTTTATATATAAAATTGCTTACATCCACTTCCTCTGCCGCCGCCCTAAACAGCGTACCTATGTCTCACGTTTTTGATTCTGTCAAGGTGAGACAACAATAAGCCTTCACAAAGAAATATGAATTTAAGATGCATTACTCCTGTAAATATTTAAATGAAAGGGAAATATGGTCAACTTTATATCAGACATCTTACTAAATATGAGACCTATCATTCAATAGACCTCTGTAGATTTGTGATTACAAAAAGAAATATTGACAAATAGATAAATAGATAAATGCTGACTATTATATTTCTGACAGCTGATATATATAAAAAGAGGGAAACTTCAATTTAGTAAAGATTAAGCAAATGATTTATATGGTTGCTTTTGCAATATCCAATCTTCTATCACAATATCTGAAACTGATTCAAAGTCATAGTATAGTACATAAATATGTTTATGAGAAAATACTTACTTTATTCCTGGTGTAAACTGTGGAGGATGTTGTGATAAAAAATCTGCTACTTTCTGTCTGGTTGGCTGGACTATCTTTAGTCTCTCATTCAGAGCTTCTCTGAAAGACACATTACCTCCCATAGCTTTATTGGTCCTATAATATATAAGAGGAAATATGGATAGTTACAATAAGTATAGATATGAAATCATGTTATTCTATAATTGTAATATCGGTGGCTGTACTTCTGAGCAGATTTCATATAGGAGCATCATAAAGAGTAAAGAAATACACAATCTTGTGAAATACTATGAGTATCTGTACAAATGTTACGACAAAAGAAACATTTAGTCTTGTTTCAAGATATAAATTAGAGAACTGATCTTAATGTTAATTCCAAAAAAAATACCAGACAAATGCTACCCCACTTTTACTTTTAAATATTGGGTCAACAGGATGCTGAAGAGCAATGTATGTGAAAACGCATTACACAGTATACGATGCACACAGGGAGCTTGCTATTAAATTTAACAACATTTACCAAAGTTTGGATAATATTGCAGTGTAGTATGATAACAAGATGAATATGTGATTTTAAATAGATTCCTAGCAAACATAGTAGTGCTCACAGTATACCATTCAATGACAAGTTCTCCAACACCACAAAACTTGGCAAGTTCATCTAAAGCTTCATCCTTTAGTACAGTGGAATCTACATCAAAACATACAGCATCAGCATTCCTCCAAACTCTCTTACATTGTTCCTGGGACAACATCTTAATAAGTAAATGGAATAGTCTTCTGAATGGAATTATCTGTAATCATAAATACAAATGTATAATGAACTGGTCAATACAAATGTAAAATGAACTGGTCAGTATAAATGTAAAATTAACTGGTCAAAACAAATTTAAAATGAACTGGTCATAACAAATGTAAAATGAATTTGGTTAATATAAATGCAAAATAAACTGGTTGTTACATATGTGAAATAACTGGTCAATACAAATGTAAAAAGAACTGGTTATTGCATATTTGAATTATCTGGTCAATACAAATGTGAAATAAACTGGTCAATACAAATATAGGATGAACTGGTCAATACAAATGTGAAATAAACTGGTCAATACATATGAAGGATGAACTGGTCAATACAAATGTCAAATGAACTGGTCAATACAAATGTAAAATGAACTGGTCATTACATATACCGGTATATGTAAAATGAAATGGTCAATACAAATGTAAATGAACTGGTCATTACATATACCGGTTTATGTAAAATGAAATGGTCAATACAAATGTGAAATAAACTGGTCGATACAAATGTAAAATAAACAGTTCAATACAAATGTTTAATATCGAACTTGACCTACATTTAGTCATGTTAGTCATTAGTAGCATTATGTTATAATTATATGAAACTTATACTAGAAACATTTCACCCATATGATAAGGTTCACATGACCAATTGGTAGAAGTTATTGAAGGGAAACAACATAAAATGCCATTTTCCAATATATCAAGACCATATTAAACTACTGAACAGTACAAGTGAAAATCTTACATATCAAACTTGACCTCCATTTTGTAATCAGTGACATATTGAAATTTGAAAAGCATTGCATTGGTTATTGCATGGAAACTGTTGGCTGCCTGTCATTTTCTAGCCTGCCATACTTCACCAAATTAATCACCAGATTTTTCCTTCATAAAACCCAGTTAATGTACTGGTCAATACAAATGTAAAATTAAACTGGTCAATACAAATGTAAAATGAACTGGTCAATGCAAATTATTGGTTCAGTCATGTGAACCTTATCATATGGGTGAAATGTTTCTAGTATAAGTTTCATTCTTCAAAAAAATGTCTTGAAAATTAAACAAAAAGTACAGAACAACAAAGCTAGAGCCTGTATCTCTCACTTAGATCAATGTGCATCAACAATGGCAATCTCCAATACTATAGAATACATAATTCATTACCAAAATTTCTTCCTTGTTGATCTTGTATTGCTGATCTTTTTTTTTATATTTCCATTTCCCTACCATGCCTACATCTAACTATAGTTTTAGCCCAAAACAAAGAAAACAGATAAAAATCAACTTTAAGGGCAATAACTCCTTTTAAGTGTACTGACCTTTTTCTAGATCTTGTTTAGCTGATAATTTTTACTGTCTAAATATTCTTCTATCTGCTGTAGTTTTGCCCCAAAATGCAATCAAAGTACTGAAGTACTGAACATCGGATGACCGCAAGTTCTTGTGGATTGTCAAAAGCACTTGTCACAGAAAAAAATCACATCTCTATACCTGAAACTGAGGTTAATGTACAGAGATATTTTTTTTCTGAGACAAGTTCGTGCGTGGATGATTAATAAATGACAGGAAATTCAACCTCACCGTAATAACTATTATATTGTAGTGATACAAATCAGTATACACTGGTTTGTTGTTATATATTATATTAGTATAACAGTTACATGTATATATAATTTTCATCCATTTGTATATCATTCTATTACACTATTCTAATAAGAGTGCAGTGCAAGTGCATGGTGGACACTCTTCTATAAAAATTTGATTTTTCTAAAAGATTGAATATGAGTAGGCATTCATATTTTCCCGCAAAAACAATCTTCAATGCAGAGTTACCAGTCCTTGTCGGGATTGTCGCAAAATGTTCTTTAGATATTCTTCTGCATGCTTTATCATATCAATGATTTTTTACTTACATACCTGCCAACCCTCCCGTTTTGAGCGGGAGACTCCCGCTCAAATGGCGAAATTCGGGAAATCTCCCGCTTGCCGGTACCCTCCCGCGCGGGAGTATAGAATCTCCCCCTTTGGGATATTTTAACCTTGAATGACAAGTCAATAGTAATTACGTTTTTGTCTCACTGATTAGGGTTGTAATTACCTGTAAATCACAGACCATGTGAAATTAAATGGCTTCACTTGACAGCTTGGGTGTCAAATATAGTACTAATTAATGATAATTAACAAAGAAATTTCGGGTTACTTCCCCTGTTTAATCCTGTTTTAAGTTACCCTTCTTAAAATAATGTGAATTGATAAAACAATATAAACTAAATACAAATTAAACAAAGAATCATAAAAGGAGGGCAATTAAAAGATTTTGTATGCCTTAAGACAAAAAAAATAATTATATTTTAAAAATCACTTAAAAGATCTATACTTCTATTCAATGTTTATATTGAAATTAATAAGATATGTATTGAACCAAATTTAGTCAAATAGATAAGTGCTCACACAAAATGCACCTTTGACAATATGATTGCTCTCTTATAACAGAGGTGTCTGGGGTGAAAGTTGTCTGGAAGTGATTCAAATGTCAAAGTTGATGAAATAGGAAAGAAACAAACAACACACCTTCTGTAGGATATAACCATATTTAAAGAAACAAAGTATATCTATAAACTCTTACATGTGTTTCTTAGATAAATAAATAAACACGTCATATATTTCACTTGAAAATGTCGTTCGCGCAAAATCTCCCCCTCAGCGGTCATAGCTGAGAGGGAGATCTCCCTCTTTGAAGGTTTCAGAGGTTGGCAGGTATGTTAACTTATATATATATATATATATCTAACGACAAAACATTTTCATATTATTAACTTATGTTCTAAACAAAAATATTGTTATCAGTATTCATTGAAGAGATGTATTAATAACAAACGATAAGGAATATTATTTTGCACTCGTTAATATCCGTGTATTTATCATGTTTATAGATGGGTTACAAACCCAAAACAAAAGTTACGTAATAGAAATCTAGGCAATAGCAATACCTTTTACAGGCAAAAGCGCCAGTAAGGAGACAACTGACAACTTCAGTTATCTGACTCATTCATATATTTTGCGTTGCTTATAATTCTTGTTGATCAGAGATTTTCTCTATCTGATATACATTTCAAGATAATAGGCAAAAAACAAAAACAAAATTAGTAAAAATTGCAATTTAAGGGGCAGTAACTCCTGTAAGTTTACTGATGATTTCTGCTTATTTGTAGATCTTGTCAAGATCATCATTTTTGCAGTTTACCATGTTTACAGTCTCTCCCTATCTATTATTGTTTTGAAGAGAATAGGGAAAAAGAATAACTAGAGAATCTAAAGATCCTGTTTCACTCAACTAGGTCTAAGTGCATCATCAACAATGAAAATTATTTGTTTTGTTTGTCTTGTTTTGCTGGTATTTTTTTCTGTTTACAGTTTCTCTCTGTTCTAAACTTTTTGCCCAAAATACAGAAAAGGTTAAAATCATCATTTAAGGGCAATAACTCCTATAAGAATATTGAGTCAATTAATGATATGAGCAATATTGACTTATTTGTAGATCTTGTCTTGCTGATCATGTTTTCTTTTTTAAGTTTCTATAAGATAATATGCAAAAATGAAAAAAGTGGTAAAATTCGTCATTAAAGGGCAATAACTCCTTTCAGATGGTTTCAGGCAGTATTGATGTAAATGGACAGTAGGTATAGATCACAGCATTCTGAACATTTCTGCCTTGTCAGATTTTCTCTATTTATAGCAATTTTCAAGATAATAGACAGACCTTGCATTTTACCCCTATGTTCTATTTTTAGTTATGTTGTCCATGCTGGTTGGCAATCATGGTCATTGGACACAATTTTTTAAACTAAATTACCCTTAAAATTAAATTTGGGAGTGTAGCTTTAATCTGACACCCAGAAATTCAGACAGTACAGTAGTCCAACTGTCCAACAGTTTGACTGTCAGTTAATACGATAGTCCAACAGTCTGTAAATCCGACAGAAATCGTTCTTCACGAAGCTGTGTTGCGGCAGAGGATGGTTCTCGTCTCAGTAATGTAAGCTTACTAGTATACATGTACTGTTGAAACACAAGCTGTGTATACAATTTCAATAAGTGCATGGAATATGTTGTAATGGGATCTAAATCAAATCCTAGACTGTTTGAACAATTAATCTAAGATTCCATACCTGTTCACCATGTCAAAGTTAATACTGAGAATGTCATATTACATACATGCCCGTACATGTAACGCATTTTGTAGATGAATGTGAAATGTCACATATTTTAATGTGGACCTAAGCATTCCTAGTCATAGAATTATCACGACAAGACACAATATCCACAGGCACTCGTCTTTCTTTGAAAAAAACATACCTATATATACAAACGTTACATGTCGCGTTGGACTATCAGGCTGTCATATTTTAGGACTGCAGGACTATAGTATTGTCAGATTATAGGACTGTCATATTATAGGACTGTCGGATTATAGGTCTGACCCCTTAAATTTAGCTGAGCAGTTTCAGAGGAGAAGAATTTGTCAAAGTTTTTCTACAAGCACAACTGACTCCAAGTGATAGGAAAAGCTCAATGGGCCCTTATGGCAATATCTAACAAGAGGCTCTAAAGAGCCTATGTTGCCCACCTGCATCTTTAACAATGGCCACTATTTAGTAAATCATCATTAAAGGGGAAAAACTCTATTAAGAGATAACTGACAATTTCAGTCATGTTGACATATGTGTAGATCTTATGCTGCGGATAATTTTTATTTTTTAAAGTTTCTATTTAACCAATATAGTTTTCAGGATAATAAAGCAAAAAATGCAAAAAAATTGTTAAAAATTTTCGTTAAAGGGCAATAACTCCAATAACGAGTTGACTGAAGATTTTGGACATGTTGACTTATTTGTAGATCTTGTCTTGCTTATCTTTTTAAAGTTTCTGTCTATCTATTATAATTTTCAAGATAATCATGATAATAGGCAAAAAGTTTCAAAAATGGTAAAATTCATCATTTATGGCAATTAAACTCCAGAAAGAAGTTGTCTGATAGTTTTGACTTAATTGCACAATACACCTTATCGCTATTTGTCCGCCATTATTGGTCATCACAAAAGTTCCCGTAAAATTTTGAAGTCATAATAGAAAATATCTGACACCACAATAGAAAAGTGATTGTTGTATGACGTCAAAAGTTCAAGCGGGACAGATTCTGGGGTCAAGCGGGACAGATTTCCAAATAGCGATAAGGTGTATAGGTAGAGCTCAACATTCTATTTTCCCCTCTCAGATTTTCTCTATTTACAGCAGGGATGGGCACGATTACTGACAAATGTAATCGATTAATAATCGATTGCATGAAGGTATTTTGTGCAATCGATTAATAATCGATTACTCAGATTTTTGTATGTAATCGATTGCAATCGATTACTTTATCAAAAGTAATTACATTACTTTTCGATTACTGTCAATTACATGCTTCAAAATTTAAAAAAAAAATAAAGTAAGTTAAACACTATCATGTTGATCAACGTTTGTATAGTAGATGTTTAGAACTTTACCAAAAAAACAGCATTTAAATCATTGTTTCCAAATTATAAGTTGACAGTTGTTATCTAGATGGAATCTCTTACTGAGGATCAGAATTATTAAAAAAATTTGACTTTCAACATGAATTAGAGATGACATTGCATTCCATCAATCACTTATATATATGTTTAAAGTTTTTTTCAATAATTTCCCTTACAGAAATGAAAAGTTTGCTGCAATATTGCAACAATATAGCGGCAATATTGCAGCAAACAAATTTGTTTGCAAGAAGTGTTTGCAAGAAAGTTGCAGGTTGTTGCAGCTACCTGCAACATTCTCGCAATGTTACTGCAACAAAATTTGTTTGCAAGAAAATTGCAGCAAGTTTGCTGCAATGTTGCAAGAAAGAATTTGTTTGCTAGAAAGTTGCAGGAACCTTTTCTTTTATTATTTAAGGAATGACTTTTTGCAACAACTTTGCAAGAAAAGTTTCTTTAATAATGTCAGACAATCAGATAGTTTGCACCAATATTTCAAGCATTTTAAAATATTACATATGATTATTTGTTTTAAGATTTAAGGTTCAAATAATACACAACATATTGTTTCTTTGAACATTTGGTTATGGATACTTCTAACTATCTAAATTTGTTGTCGTCATACTTTATTTTACTCAGAAATATCTGGATATTTGAATAATTCTTTTAAATAAATCTTCAAATAACAATGCTTATATTTTTAGAATTCCTAAACTGTACATCACATTTATATGATATTTTGTAAGGAAAGAATTTCAAGAATACTTTGGTATTTATTTCAACAAGTTTAATCTAAATAATTGAGTCATAATAATTTTTGTTCTACATGTATTATTATGCCTTTTTGTCACTTTTTTGTGACATTTTTCTATGAACAATATTTTTAATTCTAAATTATTTTCCATCAAATGAATTTAGCCTCACCTGCAGGTTGCATTTTGTTTAATTTCTAGTATCATTATTTTAAAACTATGTATACACAAATTATCTTTCTCATCTCAATTAGTAATATGAGCTGGTGATAGAAATATAATGTGCCATCTGGTTTTCATTTTTCTCTGTGTTGTGGTAAAGACAGGAAGTACCATAAATTAATGTACACAGAGTTTGAGGCCAAATTAAGGGTAGAGCATTTCTTCTTTGTATATATGTAGGACTCAAATCTATGGCGGGTTCCAAATCTATGGCAGATTCCTAATCTATGGCAAATATGACGTTACAAACGCCAAACAAATCAAATCTATGGCAGATTTTTGTTTTCTCCAAATCTATGGCAGATTTAGGAATTCAGTAATTTTCCGGGAAAAAGAGTAACATATAACGTCACAATAAAATAACACCATATAAGTCGTCGCCGACAGTAAAAATGTGGGCTCTCCAAACTTTCCTGAAGTCCTGAGTTTAAAATACTCAAGAAAACACTTTCCGCTTTCCCTCTAGAACAATTTGCCGATGGTTTAAATGAAGATGTGATGTTTTATCTATAGGAGGGACACTCATTGTTGTACCGTCCGAATCCCGCAATCAAGAAAGGCACAGCTGTTTTTAGTAGTGGATATTTTGGGAATGGAGTTATAGTAAATATTTTAGCGTCTACGGCTGGCAAAGTATTTAAAGTGAGAAAATGAAATTACAGGATACCACCTTGACTTAAATCGTCACCAGTTAAAAAAGATTGATTAATGCTGAAATAAATATTATGTAAAAAGTCAAACTGTTTAAATTGTTTTTTATAAAAAAAACTGCTTTCTTGTTTGATAAGGGACTTCCATTTTTCTAGTTGTTTAAATTAATGGATTAAACAGGTACCATGCACAGATTAGGATATGCTTATTTTTCCAGGGAAGATAATTTTAATCCAGATTTCTGTATTATGGTATATCACTTCTACACTTTTTTATGGTTGACATCACGCTTTGATTGACCATTATGGAATTTTTATTTCACAAATGTTTATAGACATGCTCCCGTTGTCGTACATTTCAACTTATTTAAGACAAGTTAGTGACTGTATCATGTACTGCCTTGCTCTACATTTGCACACAATCTGCCATAGATTTGGAAACAACAAAAATCCGCCATAGATTAGGAAATTACAAAACTTGCCATAGATTAGGATTTTAACAAATCTGCCATAGATCTGGGATGGCATGACGTCATATTTACCATAGATTAGGAATCTGCCATAGATCTGGAACCCACCATAGATTTGAGTCCTACATATATTTCCATTATAACTTATAACATCAAAGATAAAAAAAAAAATATATATATAATTATTTTTTTATTATAATATATAACAAATATTCAAGATTTAGGCAATTGATATTTATAATTAGGGGCAAATTTCAAAGGGATCACACTGTCACAATACCCTAAGCAACCTTGATCAACATATTCAAAATTTGAACTGGACATGAACATGCATACAACAAACAAAGATATCTTCTATCATGAACAGAGTAATATGAATTTTACAATGGATTTAGATCCAAAAGTTCCAACTAATTCTATTGACACTGGATAGTGCATATGATAGCCTTCAGTTGACATGACTCTTGGATTTAGGAAGATTGGTGTTTACACATAATTTGGATAACATCTTTTGGTAAGTACAATGGAGTTGAATGTCCACCATTTTGAATAAGTGCTTGCTCTTACAGTTCAAAATAGTGATATTTAAAGAGTTTTCTTAACTTAATAGAGTTGACAAAAGTATAAGACAATAGATTTATGCACATGAATATTATTAAAATTGTGTAAGACAGGAGATATTTTTTTAAATCTTTTTAAGACTATATGTTTTAGAAAGTACATTACTTAAATTGAAACAAGAAATCTTCTAATAAAAGCAGTTTGGTATTAAATTATAGATCTGTGATTTGACTGCCAATAAGAGGTCTATCAACAAATGGCAACAATATTTAGATTTTATATATACACAACTAATCTCAAAAATTTTAAAGAATAGACCAGACCAATTATGTTATAGTTCAATGAAAAACAAATATTCAAAAAAGCAATAACAACCTAGTACTGGCATAAGGTTAAATGTATTCTATAGTAATATGCAATTTCTAGAAGGACTTGATCACTTTTAGACATTGACCCTTTAAGTGAAACAAATGCTGGAAAAATTGGTCTGTAATCATCTCTTTATAAAGAGTTATTTTCATTTTACAAGTCCAGAATTTACAATCTATGGTAGTAACTTATATCTTTATATCTTTATAATGTTTAGTTATTCTTTTAATGTATGCTAAATTCTTCAACTTTTATTTTGCAGTATTTGAAATCAGAAAATTCAACTTTAAGGACAGTGAGTACAGAGAAACAGAACTAAAGGATACACAGATATGTAACACAACAACCTATAGAGGACAGAGAAAATTTTGTTTTATTATTAAATCATACTTTTTTAAATGCTTAGTTTTTAATTCCTAATTTTTCAACTGAAATTGTTGAAAGATTTGCTGCAATGTTGCTGCAATATTGCAAGAAATTAATTTTCCTGCAATATTGCTGCAACATTGCAGCTAATGAATTTGCCGCAATATTGCTGCAACAATCATAGCTACTGATTTTCCCGCAAACATTTGCTGCAATATTGCCGCAAATTGTTGCGGCAATATTGCAGCAACTGTTTGCAAGAAAACTAATTTACATACGAAAAATGAATATTTGCAGCAATATTGCCGCAAATATTTGCAGCAACATTGCAGCAAATATTTGCAAGAAGCCTTATTTTTCCATAAGGGTTTGCTTTCGTACTGACTTAACTTAGCTTTTTTGTTTTTATTCATTAAAAGCAGGTATATTTTAGCATAGTTATTTACAATGTTGGAAGTTTTCTCAGAAGAAAATATAAAAAAGTAGAATTATTAATTAGTTCAGCTAATTTTAAGGATCAAAATTTATAATTATAATGACAAACATGATTTAATCCTTTTGTTGGAAAACCACCTTAATTATAGGTTATAAAACTGCCAATGGAGTACAATTTATAACCTGGGACAAAATAATGTAAATCTCCATCTTAATTAGACAATCAGTAATTGAAATAAAAACAAAGTATGTGTCTTATATAGTAGACTTTCATCTGATTAGAAAAGACAAGTTTGTTAAGATTTTTTTATTCTATAATAAAATTATAAACAGTATATATTTATAGTGTCAACGAGGGATACATGTATCTTTTTAAGAAAAGAATTTCAATGCATAGGCATTGGTTCATTGTTAAAAGGATTTTGTGTACTTATTTTTTATATACATGTATATCTTAACATTATAAGAAATCAACTGTTTTATCTATTCTAAGCTTAAATCTTATTGAAAATTATGCTTTTAGGAAATTTAATACAAATAAGCTTACTACTTTAAGGAAGTACAGAACTTAACTTAAGACACATTTCTTGTTTTAAATCTATTTTCTTATTTCGGGATCTGGTTGATCATAATGCAGCTTGAGACAATAGATAGAAATATAAAGGCAGTTGATAAACTCTTAAGTCATATCAGTACTTCAAAGTGATGAATACATACATGTTTTCATTTAAAATAGGTTACATTTCATCAAACTATTTTACTAAAGTAATCGAAATGTAATCGAAAGTAATCGATGATTACATCATGATTTTTGCTGTAATCGATTAAATTACGATTACATGTAATCGAAAATGTCTTCGATTACAGATTACTGTCGATTACTGGAAAAAATGTAATCAATTACAATCGATTACGATTACAGATTACGATTACCCCATCCCTGATTTACAGCTGTTTTCAAAATAATAGGCAAAACATGCATTTCATCCCTGTTCTATTTTTAGGCATGTCGGCCATCTTGGTTTGCAAGCGGGGTGATCAGACACATTATTTAAACTGTATACCTCAATGATGATTGTGGCCAAAATTGGCCCAGTCAGTTTCAGTTGCGGAGATTTATGTAATAATTAACAGACGACTATGGACGACAACGGACGCCAAATTCCTAGAAAAGAGAAAAGCTCACTAGGCCTTTTAGGCCAGGTAAGCTGAAAATGAGTGTTTATGATTTAATCCTTAGGAAAAATAAGGTAGGTTCTGTAGGTAAGTAGCAAATGATTTGTTATTTCAATTTCAAATTTTATCACCTGTAATTTTGTCAGGATTCCCTATCAAATGTGCCAATCAAATATATTGGGTATTTTTTCAACCGGTAGATATTTTGAGACATGAAAATTAGGGTTGGTTGGGACCAGGATTCATTTGCTAGACTTACTCGGTTATGTATAAATCATTGGTCCGTTGTGTTGGTCGGGAAACCCTAAAAACAAGTATTTTATCTTATTTTGGTCTTTCTGTGTATTTTACAAGTGTTCTCACCATGAAATTATTTCCCTCTCTTTGTAATTGTCTCTTATAATGTCCCTTTTTTCTTGTTTTCTACTCGCTAATATAATTTATGGGACTGTGATACCAATCACATTCCGTTTTGAATCCGTTCCTCACCTGGAAGAAGAAGAAGAAATAAAAGATTTTTTTCCGTTTCATAGCTAGTCCCATCTAGATAGAGTAATTTTCCCTATACACCGCAGTGGATAGTTAAAAAAACCAACTCTTATTCAAAATACGAAAATTACGATGATCTTTAAATTCTATAACTACATAAGATTTTTTACTGCAATCGATAGTAATGGTTTAAAAAATAAATCCTTTCAAAAAAAAAGAAATTTGAGTCCGGGGACATTAGATTTTAGCTCTTTCTGAACAAGGATTACCTCCCCTGATTTGTAAGTGCTGATTTCACAATTTTTGAGATTTTTTTCCCCCTCAATTCAACTCTTCTTTTAATAACAAGGATTGAAAAGTATGAAAATCTATTATAATGTGTCGACTTACCATCCAGCGACTCTTTTCACAAAAAATCTTACGATTAAAATTGATCGTAAGTTATACTGAAATGTGTATGACTTACGAGTATTTTTACTCTAAAGATTTTTTGTGAAAAGCGCCGCTGTTCTGGTTTCTTTTTATCATCTTAATCTTACTGCCATTACCTGTAATATCCTTGTTACACAACTTTTTTTTGTTAAAAAAAATGATATGGGGTATCCATCCATCCTCAATGACACAAAATCAGTATATCACTATATGCACAGGAAAAAACACAAAAATCAAAGGAACATTTATGTAATTGATATCAAATAATAAAATGAATAAATCCAACATATATATGTTAGACTCAGGTCGATGTCTGTTCCTCAAATCGATATGTCCAGTTATGTGACATCACATTCTCAAATTGGTGTCCAATGTTTTTACCTTCCAATGGACTTCCAATGTGACGTCATATATCACCAACACTATGGCTGATCGATCGGAGTCTCCTCTTATCAATATCCAATTTCATTTAATCATTTATTATACGTCTGTTTACGGGACGTATTATGGTATACCGTTATCCGTCTGTCCGTCCGTCATTAACATGTCGGACATAAACTCAAAAACGCTTTAACCAATTTTCATAAAACTTTGGTGAATTGTTTATATCTATTGACATGAGCTCCCTTTCGTTTTTTATAAATTTTAGATTTTACGTTTCCGAGTTATGGGGTTTTATTCATTAAAAAAAGGGGGATTTTCCAGTTTTCGGACAATAACTCAAGAATGCTTTCACCAACTTGCAAGAAATTGTGGTGAATTGTTTATATCTATTGACATGAGCCCCCTTTTGATTTTTATATATTTTAGATTTTATTTTTAGTTTGATCTAATGTTTATATTATGTCTTTGTGTGTAGCTGTTAAAAAAAACTAATTGTATTCTTATATCATTATCAAAATAAAAGAACTAACATAAAAAAAAAATGACAATAAAAGAGGGGCGAAAAATACCAGCGGGACATTCAGACTCATAAATCGAAAATAAACTGACAACGCCATGGCTAAAAAAGAAAAAGATAAACAGACAAACAATAGTACACAAAGCACAACATAGAAAACTAAAGACTAAGTAACACGAACCCCACCAAACTCGTGATGGCATCTGTAAAATTTGTTTACTTTTTTGTTAAATTTTTTTGCTATATGGAATAAAATGATAAAATTTATTTCAGATCAGTCAAAAGAATAAACTATGGTAGTGAGAACTTACAATGATGAATTGTCCTATCTGGAAAAGGTTGGAACACATTCATGGAGAATTAAGAAAGGCTTTGTTCCAAACATGAAGGTATTATAAATGAAAATATTCAAACTTTTTCAGTGGAATTTGGTTTAGCAGAATTCCTTGACCAAAACAAATTAGCTTGATTCCTGTAAAGTTATTTTTTTTTTTGGGAGGGGGGGGGGGGGGGGGGGGTGGAAGGGGAGTTGTCATTTGGACAATCAAAGCATCAATTTCAGCTTGACCTATATGTACATGTATGTTACCTTACAAAGTCATATTTTCAACATTATTAAATTCATAGATATGAAACCTTATTTTGAAATAAGATACTATTTATTTCTGTTAAATATTTACAGGTTGAAGGTTTATTTTATGTCAATACACACTTGGAGAAACTGATGTTTGATGAGTTAAAACAGTCCTGTAGGTCACAAGGTTATGGAGGTTTCTTACCTGGAATGAAACAGATTGGAAATGTGGCTGCTTTACCAGGAATTGTGGGAGTAAGTATCTATTGTATAGAAATATGGCTGCTTTACCAGGAATTGTGGGAGTAAGTATCTATTGTATAGAAATGTGGCTGCTTTACCGAGAATTGTGGGAGTAAGTATCCATTGTATAGAAATGTGGCTGCTTTACCAGGAATTGTGGGAGTAAGTATCTATTATATAGAAATGTGGCTGCTATACCAGGAATTGTGGGAGTAAGTATCTATTGTATAGAAATATGGCTGCTTTACCAGGAATTGTGGGAGTAAGTATCTATTGTATAGAAATGTGCCTGCTTTACCGAGAATTGTGGGAGTAAGTATCTATTGTATAGAAATGTGGCTGCTTTACCATGAATTGTGGGAGTAAGTATCTATTATATAGAAATGTGGCTGCTTTACCAGGAATTGTGGGAGTAAGTATCTATTGTATAGAAATATGGCTGCTTTACCAGGAATTGTGGGAGTAAGTTTCTATTGTATAGATAACATGGCTGCTTTACCAGGAATTGTGGGAGTAAGTATCTATTGTATAGAAATGTGGCTGCTTTACCAGGAATTGTGGGAGTAAGTATCTATTGTATAGAAATGTGGCTGCCTTCCCAGGAATTGTGGGAGTAAGTATCTATTGTATAGAAATGTGGCTGCTTTACCAGGAATTGTGGGAGTAAGTATCTATTGTATAGAAATGTGGCTGATTTCCCAGTAATTGTGGGAGTAAGTATTTATTATATAGAAATTTGGCTGCTTTACCAGGAATTGTGGGAGTAAGTAGTAAGTATCTATTGTATAGAAATGTGGCTGCTTTACCAGGAATTGTGGGAGTAAGTATCTATTGTATAAAATTGTGGCTGCTTTACCAGGAATTGTGGGAGTAAGTATCTATTGTATAGAAATATGGCTGCTTTACCAGGAATTGTGGGAGTAAGTATCTATTGTAAAGATAACATGGCTGCTTTACCAGGAATTATGGGAGTAAGTATCTATTGTATAGAAATGTGGCTGCTTTACCAGGAATTGTGGGAGTAAGTATCTATTGTATAGAACTGTGGCTGCTTTACCAGGAATTGTGGGAGTAAGTATCTATTGTATAGAAATGTGGCTGCCTTACCAGGAATTGTTGGAGTAAGTATCAATTGTATAGAAATGTGGCTGCTTTACCAGGAATTGTGGGAGTAAGAATTTATTATATAGAAATTTGGCTGCTTTACCAGGAATTGTGGGAGTAAGTAGTAAGTATCTATTGTATAGAAATGTGGCTGCTTTGCCAGGAATTGTGGGAGTAAGTATCTATTGTATAGAAATGTGGCTGCTTTACCATGAATTGTGGGAGTAAGTATCTATTGTAAAGAAATGTGGCTGCTTTACCAGGAATTGTGGGAGTAAGTATCTATTGTATAGAAATGTGGCTGCTTTATCAGGAATTGTGGGAGTAAGTATCTATTGTATAGAAATGTGGCTGCTTTACCAGGAATTGTGGGAGTAAGTATTTATTATTTAGAAATGTGGCTGCTTTACCAGGAATTGTGGGAGTAAGTATCTTTTGTAAAGAAATGTGGCTGCTTTACCAGGAATTGTGGGAGTAAGTATCTATTGTATAGAAATGTGGCTGCTTTCCCAGGAATTGTGGGAGTAAGTATTTATTATATAGAAATTTGGCTGCTTTACAAGGAATTGTGGGAGTAAGCACAGGGTATGTATACTAGAAAAAGTGTCTGCTTTACTGGGCTTTTTGGAAAGACAGAATCTGCTTACTTGGACTTTTATCCTTGCTTGATACACATACCCTTTTTACTTAAACATAACTGCAAAAATACGGGTGAGTAAATTTCAACTGTTTTTTGGGTAAAGATTGCATGAAATGCAATCAAAACCCTATGGTACTGACTTAATATCTAAATCTTCCAAGGTTTATCACTACTTTTGAGATACACAAAATATAGTGCATTGATCATAACATTCTAACATCCTATCTGTGAACATTTTCAGAAATTTATCAATAAAATATATGCTCAGACATTCCATTACAAAATGATATTATACTTGTCAAGAAAATTACATAACTTGTGCAAGGTGCAGGAATCTAATATCTGTTCTAATAATATCAATGATGTAATTGTTAAAGTACTCTTTAAAATTGAAGTTATCTTCCTTTAACCAATGCTTTATACAATGCAATGTTTAATTTTACTTCCCACTGATAAATTAAAGCAATCTTTACCCTTCTGTGTTTACAAGCACTTTGATTAATATAAAAGAATAAAGCTGTTTAATGATTTTTTTATACGACTGCAAAAACAACAAGGTTTTTCTGGTTTCCGGACAAATACTTTAGCATTAGTCAATGGATCTCTATGAAATTGTACTACAAGGTTCCATACCACACACAAAACTTTGGGATCGATTTTGTGGTTTGTGGCTTTAATCGTTAAGAAACTAGAGGCCAAATAGGGGCCAAAAACAAGACTTCTAATACTGGCTAAGCTGGTTCTAACATAAATTATTTCTGATCTATATAAAGAAACAACAAATACTGATATGGCAGGAGATACACACCAAACGGTGTGTAAATTATTATACAGTCGAACCTTATTGTGTCGAATTGAAGGGACAGAACAGAAGTATTCTACTTATCCGAGGTTTGACTCATCCGAGGTCAAGTGTGTCATCATAAATTTGGAATGCATGAAATAGGATATAAAATTTTGTAAACTAGATACTTGGAACAGTGTGCCTTTTTTCGATATGACACTTTATGATTGTGTATTCCATCTCCATATTTTTTGGTCCTTCATAATAATTAAACATACAACGTCACAAGTACAGATACAAATCATGCACAAATGAAATCAATAGTATACACAATTATTATACCTCAGTTATTATTTTCTATATTAAATGAGTAAACAATATTTTCACTATTTTTTTCATAATTGCAAGTGTTGAACTATTTGACCGGTCAATAGTTTCCAACCATTGGACCTCACTGAAACTATTTGACCGCAAACGTCATTATATTTCGCGAAATTTCAAATGCAGCTACGGGATTGGATAATGTTGAGAATACAGTGGGAGTAATGACGTCGCGTTTTACCTATTGTATCTAGGGTTTGACGTCAATGCGAGATGTAGCCTTAGCATTCAGAATATATATGAAGTAAACCTGAAACAGTATAGTTGTCTTTCTGCTTTTTATATTAGTATACTATAGTTGATTTAGCCCAGATATTTATATTGTCTGTTGTCTCTTTCAGTATAATAAAACACTTACTGACTGGATATTCGTGGAATAGTAAGTTTATTGTCCCCTCGGATACAACTATTGCCCTCGGCTACGCTTCAGGGCAATAGCTGCACCTCGGGGACAATAAACTTACTATTCCACTCATACCCAGTCAATAAGTATGAAATATTTACAAAGGTCAGTCACTTTAAATTATGAAATCACTCGCGGAACGAAAAAAGTTCTGAACGGTCTCTGGTGAGGTCATCTGCTATACATTAAATTATTATGAATTTATCATATAAATTGTCTAAATCCTTTTATTTATTGTAATTAATGAATATTAATTGGAATGATTCATTTAATCTCGGCTTGGGTCATTTAAATTCGTTTTGTTTTTATGTCAGGTGAAATATGTTCAACACACTAACGTTCTGCTTGAACGATCAATAAAGGCGTTAATTACTGGTCACCATAAACATGTCATTTTAACTGTTATACAAACAAGTATGTTTACTCAGCTTTAATTTCTTTTGAAATGATTAGGTTACATAAGAAATACATCCGATTTGAATTTTCATCATTAGGTCTGCATCTTTCGAAAATTCTTACTTTCGAACTTCGAAACATCGGGGTCAATTTACATTAATTTTACATCGACAGGACTATAAAATTTACTCGACTTAACCGAGTATTCGAATCAACCGAGTTCAACTCATCAGAGGTAATTATGCATTGATCAAACAGGAATTTTACTGGGACCGAGAAATTACTTCGACTCATCCGAGTTTTCGACACAACCGAGTTCGACACAACGCGAGGTTCGACTGTATTTTGTTTGTAAACAGATTTACTAAGTATTGCACAACAGCAAAGTATTGCACAACAGCAAGAAATCTTCAATTGAAAATAAATACAAATCTTTTAACCAATTTCAATGAGGATTAATTTAAAGTCTTGAATTGTTTGAGGTTTTTACCATGTATTACTATATTGGATATTTGAACATTTTTAAATAGGTCTACATTGAGGTCCAAAGGGTCCAAAATTAGACTTTGTTTGATTTCATCAAAAACTTAATTCTTGTGGTTCTATGATATGCTGAATCTAACTGTGCATTCAGAATTTTAATTTTTGGCCCTGTTTTCAAAATAGTCCATATTAAGGTCCAAAGGGTCCAAAATTAAACTTTGTTTGAATTCATGTTTTTTTTTTTTTTATATGCTGAATCTAACCATGGAATTAAATTTTGGATATTGGACCATTAAGTAGATTAAATGTCCCATTTCAAATTTTTAAGTTATCTGACCACATTAATTCTGTGTCAGAAATCTATAATGTGTCTAATATTTAATCACTATCCAAATTCAGAGCTGTATCAAGCTTGAATATTGTGTCCATACTTGCCCCAACTGTTCAGAGTTAGATCTCTGCAGTCGTATACAGCTGCTCCAGGCAGAGCGCATTTTTATTGTTTCTTTGAAACTATTTTTACTTTAATATGGTTTCTCATACAAATCATTTTATACTGTTTTGTAAAATATATTTTCTGCTTTCAGAAATCTATTGGCTTACCTGATGTACACTCAGGATATGGATTTGCTATAGGTAAAAATTCTTCTTAAGGCCATGGAATATTGAATAAATAAACCAATTCTGAAATGATATTGGCCTCTGTTGATGTCCATGACTGTAACTTTCACTGTTGATATCATTTCAAAACATGCTGAAAATATACAACATAACATTTCTGAATAATTCTGGTTTATGTGAGTTCAGTCCTATCCATTTGTAGTATCAATAATATAAAATTATTACAAAGATTTAAACTTTCACAATTTATTGAAAACAGATGACATTCAAGTCAGTTGACAAGCCAAATCTTCATTTAAGGTACTTCAACACAAGGCCTAATATTGAATGCAAGATCTGAAAGTATTTTGATAAAAAAACATATTTAGACAAAATATATTGTTTCCATTTATTAACTGTCCCAGCTAACAGCCCTATCTTTTTCTACACTATTTAAAAAAGTTTTCATTTGTGAACAAGCATATTTTAGTTGAAATTTGTACCCTCAAGAGCCAGTTAAAACCTCGAAAGGAAAAAAAGTTATGCCTAATTACAAAAGTCAATGTGTTCCGGGGTAAGTAAAACATCATTATTGATATCATTTATTAAATCCAAAATATTCACTTTGTCATTTGTTGAACTATATATTTTCCATTCAGGTAACATATTTTCCATGGAAGACTCACATCTAAACATGTTACTTAGCTAACGAAGATTGTATATCAATGTTAGTTAAGAAATTCAGACATACAACATTCAACTTTATTATTTTTTACTTTGTACCAACAGGTAACATGGCTGCTTTTGATTGTGGGGATCGTGATGCTGTTGTGTCACCAGGTGGTGTTGGATTTGATATCAATTGTGGTGTAAGATTGTTGAGAACAAACCTGTGTGAAAAAGATGTAATTCCTGTGAAAGAACAGTTAGCTCAATGTTTATTTGATCACATTCCTGTTGGTGTCGGATCCAAAGGCATCATTCCAATGACCGCTATGTATGTTGACAATGTACTTTTATAAAATAGTATCCCTTTGAGATAGTATTGAAAGTCATAAAGAGACACAAAAATGAGGGTAAAATAATTATTTACATTTTTGCATTAATGGCATTAAATGACATACCTGTACTGTGGAATCATTACAAAATTTCTATAGACTTATATGCAGACTGTGGTAAAACCATGAAGTCAAATATCCACGAAAATACATTTTTTTCTCAATCCATGAAAAATAAATTAATCCACATTAACCGCAATCCATTTTATTTAACATTCTGCTAAAAAAAAAAAACCACAGATCAGTCCATTCATATCATGTTGTAGGATAAAGGAATCAGAAGTTTCTGTACCAATGATAATCATGTAACCTCTAAAACGAACAAGATAGATCATATACTGTTAATGGTTTATATTCACAGAATGTAAATTCTTGTATTTCTGGGGCCGAAACTGTTTGTTAGGCTTTATTTTTCACATTTTTTGTTTTGTACTCTGTCTCTGATCTTTGTCAAACTTTAAATTTATGCAGTGGGGATATTTAAGAGATGTTATCTAAATTGCAAAATCAGTGAAACTATATTCCTTATGAAAATTTACCTCTTTACGGTAATACATTTATGCTTCCATATTTCCTTTGCAAACTTTGAAACACGATATAACATGAACTTATATTTATCAGTAATATATATTGATGCAGCTGACATGTCATATGGTAAAAAATATTGCTACCTTGATACAAACCACATCAATTACAGGATAAAATTTCTTTATTTACTCATAGAACATTCGTTAATATTTTCTGATGTACCCTGTAAACGTCTCTGAATAATTAAACATTTCTGATATTTCTTCATATACATGTAAATATGGATGCCAATACCAAGATTTATTTTTACAGGAATCTAGAGGAAGCCTTAGAAATGGGGATGGATTGGTCCTTGAGAGAAGGTATTTCATTATGACATTGTATAAGACCATAACAATTTGATTTTTTTATACTGAATAGGCTGCGAGATTTATTTTATAATCTTTTCCTTGAAAACAGTTTTTAAAGGAACAGATAAATATTGTTTAATATTTCAGAGAGGGGAGGGGGATATTTTTGCACTTAAAAGGAAATTCTCATTATTTAAGAATGAAAACCTTTTTTTTTTAAAGAAAATCTGATTTGGCCTGTTATTCCCGCCCACCCCTCTGAAATCATCCCGCCCTGATTTTTTTAATTTTTGAAAATTTACGATTTCAGGATTTTGTTCATTCCGTTACAGGTAACCGTCGATAGTTTAGTTTCATTCAAAACTTCCTTTTGCAAATTTCTTTTTTCGTATTTCTTTGAGTATATTTAACCAAAATAATTGAAGTCGACATATTTTGCTGCTCTATGATAACAACAGTATCTTCTGAGAATAGAGATTGATTACGGGGACATGAAATATTAGGATTACGAGTAATAGGCGGAGTACAAAAACGCAAATAGTGGTATGTCACAAATTCAGTGATTTGAAAACCATGGATTTTTTTATTTAAACAATGACTTTGTGCCAGGAAATTTGGACTGTAAAAAATATCCAAACACAAGAATCGTGGAACACATTTGTACAAAAATCATGACTGGAATGAAGAAATTGACACAAGGACAAAATTGTATGATTTATAGCTGTATATATTTTTTAGTACAAAAAGTCGGCCAACGTACAAGATGTATTAAAGGAAAGCTCAGTCCTTAGATTTACCCCAAGGCTGTCGTTTTTTTGTTGACAAACATCAAACACTTTCTGTCTCCAGCCCCTCAATATAGTCATTTAATAATTTCTTCCTTTTGGTTAAGTTCATGTTTTTCATTGGAGTCTCAATTATTAGCGACAAGAATAATAATTTAGCGACAAGAAAACTAATTTAGCGAGACAAGAAAACTTATTTAGCGACAAGAAATTAAATTTAGCGTCAAGATATCTAGATGATTATTTGAAATGAATAGATATAGAAACATGCATGAAAGTGTGCATGGTTTTGTTTTAAATATACGCGAATTTTCGTTATTTCATGATACTGAGAGAAGAAAATAAACATTTGTTAATTTGTTCTAGAAAGAGTTTTTTTTTTTTTATTAAGGATATGTTTAAATAGATATATATACTGTTTACATTTTAGTGTATAAATGAATGAATCGATTATTTGTAGAGTTGGCATGGTTGATATATCAAAGGTTTAAACCAAATTATAAGAGAATATAATCTTTATTTGTTTCACTTAAAACAGAGACATATAATACAATATAAATATATTGGATTGATACATACTTTAAAATAATGTAATAAAATATTATAATTTTTATAAAAATTCATTACAAGACATACGTAGTACAACTAAATATAACAAAATTTGAAACTTTATAAAACAGCGAAAAATCAACAGTAATTAATTGACTTTTCAATAAATTTATTGTTTTAATAGTATATATAAACTTTCTTGTTGCTAAATTTGTCTTCTTGTCACTATTTTTTTCCTTATTGACGCTTCTTGTCGCTAATTAGTGAGACCGTTAACATTGTAATTTTAAAAACAATTTGCACCTTGCATAAGAATCTTAAAAACATCAACCCTAATTACAGTTTGAGTTTTCATTTCACTATGTACTCTTAATACTTGGCAATATAGTGTTGCATACACTTCATTCCATAGGCACTACTAACCATAGCTTAGAAAGCAAAACATATTTGATGTAGGTAGTATAAAAGAGAGCATTTCTCCTTGTTTTTGTTATTTACTTAAAATAGGTTTCTAAAGCAGCAATTACATGCAGAACAGTCATTGCTAATCAGAAATGTTTATTTAAGAATTTGAAAAATTATGTAGAATTCCTTATGTAAACATGACATAGGCTTATTACCTTTGCTTATGAAGAACTCATTACAAAAGAGTTTCAGAGGAAATAAAAATTGAAATATAAAATCCACCCACCCGCCTCATTTTTTATACGACCGCAAAAATTTTTTTGGGTTCGTATAATGCTATGATGTCGTCCTCTGTGTCGTCGTCGTCCGAAGACACATTTGGTTTCCGGACAATAACTTTAGTTTAAGGGAATGGATCTCTATGAAATTTTACAAGAAGGTTCAATACCACAAAAGGAAGGTTGGGATTGATTTTGGGGGGAAATGGTACCAACAGTTTAGGAATTGGGGGCCAAAAAGGGACCAAAAACAAGCATTTTTGAGTTTCCAGACAATAACTTGTGTGTAAGTGTATTGATCTCTCTGACAATATACCACAAGGTTCCATATCACAAAGGGAAGGCTGGGATTGAGTTTAAGGGTAATTGCCCCAAACATGCAGGAATCGGGGGCAAAAAAGGGGACAAAAACAAGCATATTCTAGTTTCCAGACAATAACTTGTGTTTAAGTGTATGGATCTCTCTAAAATTGTACTGCAAGGTTCCATACTACAAAGAGAAGGCTGGGATTGAGTTTTGGGGTAATTGCTCCAAAGTGGGGGTCAAAAAGTTGGAGGGATTTTTTTTTTCCAATTTTTTTAAGGGGTTCTTATTTTTTTTTTCAAAATTTTTCAAATTTCAATAGATTTTTAAGATCTTTGACCTCATTTATTTTGTGTCAGAAACCTATATTATGTCAAAAATTTGATCACAATCCAAATTCAGACAGTATCAAGCTTGAATATTGTGTCCAAATTTGCCCCAACTGTTCAGGGTTCGACCTCTGCGGTCGTATCAGGCTGCGCTCAGCGAAACATTTTATTTCAAAAATCTGGATGAAAATCTACTATTTAATTTTATAGTTGGCCTTACAAATAAAGTTTTTTTCCATTAGTTGCAGGTATATGTTTTACTTTTGATAAAACTTTAGGATTTTCAGGATTGCCGCTTGAAATAATAAATCCAAGTTGAAAAATGTTTAACTGTTAAATATTCCAGATAATAATTGTAATAACAACAATTTAGCTCAGAAATAGCTTTTAGTTAATTGTTTTGATTATATCATGCTGTTCCAGACATAACCTTTATATTGTGTTTGAATTTGGCTTTAGTCTATAATGTAAATGTGTTTCACAGGCTATGCATGGGCTGAAGACAAAGAGCATTGTGAAGAATATGGAAGGATGTTACAGGCTGACCCTTCTAAGGTCAGCAGTCGGGCCAAGAAAAGGGGTCTCCCACAGGTAGGTATTATAACAATAGAAGAAAGTTACAGGCTTATCCTTCTTACTCCCTTTATGTCCCTTTAATGCAATGAATTGAGATCTTTTCAAATTTAAATATGTCTTCTCTAATGAGTGGTCAAGTTTCTTCTAATGCTGTTGTATTGACAATAACACTTGTTTGCTGTCATTTTGACAGACCTCTTGTCTGGAGCTAGGCGACTTTTAAATCTACATCATATGTAGTAAGTCCATTAGTTTTTATTACTGGTTTAAAATTCATTCAAGTTTCCTAGAGCTCTTTCATTTTAACATGGTACACAAATTAGGCAGAAAGTCGACCATAAGGGAGAGCCAATATACCGTCTATTGCATGTTATTTCCATAATTTTAACAACAACTGAAAGATGAAAAAAAAACTTTATGTTCGAATACACCAGCTATAAAAAAGCAAGTCATGGTTTTAATACAAACTTTATATTTTAGCTTGGAACTTTGGGTGCAGGCAATCATTATGCAGAGATTCAAGTTGTAGAAGAAATATTCAACCCGTTTGCTGCTAAAAGAATGGGAATAGATTTCAAAGGACAAGTGTGTGTTATGATCCACTGTGGAAGTAGGGGATTAGGTCATCAGGTGGCTACAGGTAATACTTTTTGATGTTTGACCTTTAAATTCTGTAAATTCAGAAATTATTACATTAGCTTATCATTGTGATTATTGAACAATGGACACAAATGTAAGATTAATAAGTGCAATGTAAGGAAATGCTGCAAACAAGTAATGATATCAAAATTTAAAATTGAGTGCTATTTTTGTGACATCTATCTTGCTGCAATTATTGCAACAATAAAAACATCACAAAAATTTCTGAATTTCTGAATTGACATTTTAATCCATTATTGAACTGATTGAGCATTTCAGTTTTATGGTTGATAGTAAACATTCATACTCATTTATAAAAGTTAAAATACTTTAAAAAAACCAAGAAGTTCACTTGTAGAATACCTGCAACAGCAAGTTATATTTGAATATTCAGGGCACTTCAAAGATATACTTTACGACAAAAGAGATGATTTCAGCTTCCCAATTGTGAACTTTCCATTTCTATGTAGCAACATTCAAGCAGTGCCTGCATACGGAGTATATATCTCCCAATTGATACGATATTCCCGGGCTTGTATTTCCTATCATGATTTCCTTGATAGAGGATTGCTGCTCACAAGGAAGCTATTAAACCAAGAGTTCCAAATGCTGAAGTTGAAATCATCCCTTCGTAAATTTTACGGACGCCATCACGAGTTGGTTGACCGTTATGGAATAACCGTTTCACAGATGATATCGGATATGTTCCTTATGTCGTAACTACAATAATCTTCCCTTTTCACGAATGTGAACTTCCGAATTAGACTATTTACCGGATTTGTAATAACATAAGCAACACGACGGGTGCCACATGTGGAGCAGGATCTGCTTACCCTTCCGGAGCACCTGAGATCACCCCCAGTTTTTGGTGGGGTTCGTGTTGCTTAGACTTTAGTTTTCTATGTTGTGTCATCTGTACTATTATTTGTCTGTTTGTCTTTTTATTTTGGCCATGGCGTTGTCTGTTTGTTTTCGATCTATGAGTTTGAATGTCCCTATGGTATCTTTCGTCCCTCTTTCATTTACTCATTTCACTCATTCTGAAAGTTATTGTTTGTCTTTTGTGGGGTTTGCTCTTTGATGAAGGCTGTATAAGGCACTGTATTTATTTATATCCCACTGATGTGTTAACGTTGCATTTTGGGTACAGACGTGCAGCTGGGATTAAAATATACCCTCCATACATATTTAAAAGTCTTGTAAAAATCATAACCTAATTATGAATGTCATGGCAAAATCATTACCCATTCATATATTTCTTGGTTATCACATATACACATCTTAATTTGGTTTGAAGGTATAATTTGACTTGTATCATTTGAAGACTCAGCAGATAAAAATGTTTACCACATATCCTATTAATTAGATATAAGGAGTGGTGCAAAGTATATACAGATGTCTTATTGAAAAATGAAATCACTTACCGATCGACAAAAATTACCTGAGTGAAATTGCAAATCCTTGATATAATTGACATTTTTATGCCCCGCCGTAGCGGAGGGGGCATTAAGTTTTACTCTTGACCGTCAGTACGTATGTACGTACGTCTCAAAATTGGTTTCCGTTCTCTAACTTTAGTTTGCCTCAACCAAATGTTATGAAACTTATACACAATGCTTAATACCACAAAACACAGATCAAGTTTGAATTTTGGTGGCGTCACTTTAACCGTTCTAGAGTTATGCCCCTTTACAAATGGAAAAATTGCTGAATTTTTCGTTTCCGTTCTCTAACTTTAGTTTGCCTCAACCAAATGTTATGAAACTTATACACAATGCTTAATACCACAAAACACAGATCAAGTTTGAATTTTGGTGGCGTCACTTTAACCGTTCTAGAGTTATGCCCCTTTACAAATGGAAAAATTGCTGAATTTTTCATTTCCGTTCTCTAACTTTAGTTTGCCTCAACCAAATGTTATGAAACTTATACACAATGCTTATTACCACAAAACACAGATCAAGTTTCAATTTTGGTGGAGTCACTTTTACCGTTCTAGAGTTATGCCCCTTTACAAATGGAAAAATTGCTGAATTTTTCATTTCCGTTCTCTAACTTTAGTTTGCCTCAACCAAATGTTATGAAACTTATGCACAATGCTTATTACCACAAAACTCAGATCAAGTACAAATTTTGGTGGAGTCACTTTTACATTTCTTGAGTTTTATCCCTTTATAATGTTATATGCAAGCGGGGGCATCATCTGTGTCCCATGGACACATTTCCCTTTTTTTAGCTCACCGGGGCCCGAATGGCCTCATGTGAGCTTATGCCATCACTTGGCGTCCGTCGTCTGTCGTCGTCGTGTATCGTCATCGTCTGTCGTCGTAAACTATTTAAAAAATCTTCTCCTCTGAAACTACTGGGCAAAATACCTTCAAACTTTAACTAAATGTTCCTTAGGGTATCTAGTTTATAAATTGTATTCGAAGTTTTGATCCATCGACAAACATGGCCGCCATGGCTAAAAATAGAACATACGGGTCAAATGTAGTTTTTGGCTTATATCTCAAAAACTAAAGCTTTTAGAGCAAATCTGACATGGGGTAAAATTGTTCAATTAGGCAAGATCTATCAGCTGTGAAATTTTCAGATGAATCGGACAACCCATTGTTGGGTTGCTGCCACCGAATTGGTAGTTTTAACAAAATTTTGCAGTTTTTTGTTATTTTGAATATTATTATAGATATATTTAAACTGTAAGCAGCAATAATGTTCAGCAAAGTAAGATCTACAAAAAAGTTAATATGACCATAATTGTCAATTGACCCCTTAAGGAGTTATTGCCCTTTAAAGACAATTTTACACAATTTGTTCATCAAGTTTGCTAACATTTTAAAAAAATCTTCTCCTCTGAAATTACTGGGCCAATTACCTTCAAACTTTAACTAAATGTTCCTTAGGGTATCTTGTTTATAAATTGTATCCGAAGTTTGTATCCATCGACAAACATGGCCGCCATGGCTAAAAATAGAACATAAGGGTCAAATGCAGTTTTTGGCTTATATCTCAAAAACTAAATCTTTTAGAGCAAATCTGACATGCGGTAAAATTGTTTAATTGGTCAAGATCTATCGGCCCTGAAATTATCAGACGAATCGAACAACCCATTGTTGGGTTGCTGCCACCGAATTGGTAGTTTTAACAAAATTTTGCAGTTTTTTGTTATTATTTTGAATATTATTATAGATATATATAAACTGTAAGCAGCAATAATGTTCAGCAAAGTAAGATCTACAAAAAAGTTAATATGACCAAAATTGTCAATTGACCCTTAAGGAGTTATTGCCCTTTAAAGACAATTTTACACAATTTATTCATCAAGTTTGCTAACATTTAAAAATCTTCTCCTCTGAAATACAGGAGAGCCTCTTTTTATGTATTGTCATGCAATACTCACAGAATGCTTGTTTTTTTTAAAGTTACCCTTCCAGCAGCACATCTTAGTATACCTTCATATAGGAATTGACCTCTCTCCTTTTACATCCACATTCTTTGGTCAATGGTGGAAAATGGTCTCATTGAAAATCATACTAAATCTCTTTATTTTTATATTGTGTTATGTTTTATTTTAACCAAAGATGCCCTTGTTGCCATGGAAAAGGCTATGAAGCGTGACAAGATTGATACAAATGACAGACAGCTGGCTTGTGCAAAAATCAACTCTGTAGAAGGTCAAGATTACTTGAAAGGCATGGCATCAGCTGCTAATTATGCATGGGTCAACAGGTCAAGTATGACCTTTTTAGCTAGACAGGTAAATTATCTTGTAATTTCTTTAATAATTTGCTGAAATATTATTCTATTTATAGCTGATATTTATTGAATGTAGATTTATTAAATAAGATATGTTGCATCAGTAAAAAAGTAGCAATAACAAAGCTGCTAGTCCTTCAGTTATTACAGGCAGGAATTGGCTCGTCCATATACCACATATACATTTCTTTGATTGAGTCTACAGCTTATTTGTTATAACTTTGTTTGCAAATATTCAGTTTTCTTTGGGAATTATTATTTGTATCAATTAGTTTACAAAGATCATAATTATGATTGACTTCAGTTGTTTTTCTGTGTCTACTCTATATGCCATGCATCCACTATTAAGCAGTCACTCATTGGGACTACCAAAAGTGACCACTTAAATGAGGTTCAAAATTCAAACATAATTTTAATATCGAATCAATACATTGCCTGAACAATTTTTATACGCCAGTTTACGGGACGTATTATGGAATACCTTGGTCCATCCGTCTGTCCGTTCGTCATCAACATTTCTTGACAATAACTCAAAAACGCTTTAACCAATTTGCATGAAACTTTGCTAAAGTGTTAATATCTATCGACGTGAGCTCCCTTTTGATTCTTATAAATTTTAGATTTTACATTTCTGAGTTATGGGGTTTTATTCATTAGAAAAGGGGGATTTTCCAGTTTTCGGACAATAACTCAAAAACACTTTTACCAATTTGCATGAAACTTTTGTGAATTATTTATATCTATTGACGTGAGCTCCCTTTCGATTTTTATAAATTTCAGATTTTACGTTTCCAAGTTATGGGATTTTATTCATAAAAAAGGGGGGATTATCCAGTTTTCGGACAATTACTCAAAAGTGCTTTGAGCAGTTTTCATGAAACTTTGGTGACTGCTTTATATCTATTAAAATAACCTCCCTTTAGTTTTTTATAAATTTCTGATATGACATTGAGGAGTTATGGAACTTAATTTTTTAAAAGCGACGGGCGTGTCATGCGCTCATGGCCCAGCTTTTTATTCATATTCAAGTTCTTTTTCTGGGTACAAAAATAACATACAATAGAGAGATTTCAAGGGGAAGTAACTCAAGTAAGCAGAAATGTGTTTGCGATCCATTATTTTAATTGCACATTGTAGTAATTAAATGAAGTTTGAATAACTCAAACTTATTTAAAGAGTTATTTAGTCAAAACTATAAAAAAAACATGTTAGAAAATTATAGCATTCTCATTATTTTACCAAAAGTTGATTATAATTCTACACTGTTACTTGGACTTTAAACTCACGACTTCCATATGTCAATTTCAGGCATTTGCCAAAATGTTTAATACTACACCAGATGATTTAGATATGCAAGTTATTTATGATGTTTCACACAACATAGCTAAATTTGAAGAACATTATCTTGATGGAAAACAAAAAACATTACTGGTTCATCGAAAAGGTTCTACACGTGCCTTCCCTCCACATCACCCATTGATACCAGTAGACTATCAGCTGACTGGACAACCTGTTCTGATTGGTGGAACAATGGGAACCTGTAGTTATGTGTTGACAGGAACTGAACAAGGAATGGTGGAAACTTTTGGCAGCACATGCCATGGAGCAGTGAGTAAACTTGAAAATTAAAAAAAACATTTTATGGCTGCAAGATGTAAATTTTGTTTTTAAGCCACATATTGTTTGGTTGCTGCCTCAGACATTAAACTGCATATGTTTTCTGATAAATAACCGATTTGACCTACTGGTACTGCTGTACAAAAATTTTAACCTCAAGAAATTGCTGATGTAAATCAATAATGTTTCTTTTTTACATCCCCAATATTGTTAAACAACTAATTTTTGTGAGCAATATATTTTCGTGCCTTCCACAAGTTAAAAAGATAATGCAAATGAAGATCATCTGGAATATTTCTAACATTGATCTTCTTTCATTTGATTACGAGAACAAAGTAGAAAATTAGGACAAACTCGAGAACAAAATTTGTTTTCAGTAGTTGTGAATCTTGCATGTTTTTGTCATTTTCTGCTGGTATTTGACTATATGTACTGTTAATATTAATGAGATTGGGATAAAGGACAATCAGAAAGCATTCCAACAAAACAAGTTAACAAAAATATATATCTAAATGTTTCCATATTGTCTAAAATGATATACAAGTACCCAATACCTTATTAGAAACCTTTATTTTCAATGTCAGTACTTTTTATGCCCCCGCTGTAGCGGTGGGGCATTAAGTTTTACCCTTGTCCGTCTGTACGTACGTCCCAAAATTGGTTTCCGTTCTCTAAATTGAGTTTGCCTCAACCAAATGTTATGAAACTTATACACAATGCTTATTACCACAAAACACAGATCAAGTTTGGATTTTGGTGGCGTCACTTTAACCGTTCTAGAGTTATGATCCTTTATAAATGGAAAAATTGCAAAATTTTTAGTTTCCGTTCCCCTCACTTAAGTTTGCCTCAACAAAATGTTATGAAACTTATACACAATGCTTAATACCACAAACCACAGATCAAGTTTGAATTTTGGTGGCATCACTTTCACAGTTAAAGAGTTATGCCCCTTTATAAATGGAAAAATTGCAAAATTTTTATTTTCTTCTAAATATCAAGTAATTTTTAAAATTGGAGTTATCTTCCTTTGTCCATGATTATAGTTGAATCAATTACAATCAATGCTTTATACAATGCAATGTTTAATTTTGACTTCCACTGATAAAACACAGATCAAGTTGAATTTGGGTAGTGTCACTTTAACCCTTTTATAAATCAAAAGATTGCAAAATTTTTAGTTTCCATTCTCTAACTAAAGTTTGCCCCAACCAAACATTATGAAACCTATACACAATATTCATTACCACAAAACTAAGATCAATTACAAATTTTTTGTTTCCGTTTTCTAACTTACTTTAGTTTGCCTCAACCAAATGTTATGAAACTTGTACACAATGCTTATTACTACATAATACAGATTAAATACAAAATTTGGTGGCGACCCTTTTACCATTCTTGAGTTATAAACATAAAAATTGCTGACTTTTTCGTCTCCGTTCTCTAACTTTAGTTTGTCTCAACCAAATTTTATAAAACTTATACACAACTGTTCTAGAGTTATTATTATTTACAAATCGAAAAATTGCTGAATTTTTAGTTTCTGTTCTCTACTTAAGTTAGCCTCAACCAAATGTTATGAGACTTACACACAATGTTTATTACCACAAAACTCAGATCAAGTTTAAATTTGGGTAGCGTCACTTTTACAGTTCTTCAGTTATGTCCCTTTATAACTATATGATATGCAAGCGGGGGCATCATCTGTGTCCACATGTGGACACTATCCACATTTATTTTAACAAATTTTGAGGAAGATGGGGAAATCAATTGAAACTTATAAAGAATACGAGCTAAATATGAGGATATTTGCAATAAAAATCCTTCGAATTACTTAGAAAAAAATGATTACAAATATAACACCTTCACCATTTAATTCTAGGGAAGGGCTCTGTCTAGAGCAAAATCTCGTAGAAATCTTGACTACACATCTGTATTAGCTGCCCTTGAAGAGCAGGGGATCAGTATACGAGTGGCATCACCTAAGCTTGTTATGGAGGAGGTAAGAAGGCTTAATACCCAGCATCCAATGCAAAAAAATGGCAGAAATATAAACCACTGAATATATGAATATTGAAAACTTTTTTTCCAAAATTTTGAACCCATATACCTATTATCAATATAAAAAAGGTTACAAATACTGTATATAATAAGCAATACTTAAAATGAAATTTAATCACTTTAATATTTCAATAGATGTAACATTTGGTCATTTAAAATAAATTTTCTGGTTTTCCGACAATGACATCTAAAAAATGGATGAGGGAGTCAGGGTATTCGATTTTCGTATTTATTATTTATTATTTTGTTGATATTGACCTTTTTTTTTTTAAACACTTTATGTATTCTTGTTTAGAATAATATACCAAGAGGTTATTAAATAAATAAAAATAAAAATAATACAACACAATACATAGAGAAGACAAATATCTAGTCAACAAAACATTTCACAAAAATCTAATTTACCAACAACACGAGAAAATCTGAGGATGTATGTGTTTCCTTTCTAGAAATATATAATTTGTAACAATCTGATAGATATGCTGTTGTTGTTTCAATGACTCTCAAGCTCCCAACAACCAAGCATTCCTACAAAACAGAATAATAGATTAAATGAGATTATGTATATACTTTGTAGGCACCAGCATCTTACAAAAACGTAACAGATGTTGTTGACACATGTAAGTATGAGTTATGTGTACTGATAATAATACCCAACTCTAGGATAGAACTGATAATACCCCCACTCTAGGATAGTACTGATAATACCCCCACTCTAGGATAGTACTGATAATACCCCAACTCTAGGATAGAACTGATAATACCCCCACTCTAGGATAGTACTGATAATACCCCCACTCTAGGATAGTACTGATAATACCCCAACTCTAGGATAGAACTGATAATACCCCCACTCTAGGATAGTACTGGTAATACCCCCACTCTAGGATAGAACTGATAATACCCCCACTCTAGGATAGTACTGATAATACCCCCACTCTAGGATAGAACTGATAATACCTCCCACTCTAGGATAGTACTGGTACTACCCCACTCTAGGATAGTACTGATAATACCCCCCACTCTAGGATAGTACTGATAATACCCCCCACTCTAGGATAGTACTGATAATACCCCTACTCTAGGATAGTACTGATAATACCCCCACTCTAGGATAGTACTGATAATACCCAAATTCTAGGATAGTACTGATAATACCCCCCATTCTAGGATAGTCCTGATAATACCCCCACTCTAGGATAGTCCTGATAATACCCCCATTCTAGGATAGTCCTGATGATACCCCCCATTCTAGGATAGTCCTGATAATACCCCCACTCTAGGATAGTACTGATAATACCCCCATTCTAGGATAGTCCTGATGATACCCCCCCCCCCCACTCAAGGATAGTCCTGATAATACCCCCATTCTACGATAGTACTGATAATACCCCCCACTCTAGGATAGTACTGATAATACCCCCATTCTAGGATAGTAGTGATTATACCCCCACTCTAGGATAGTACTGATAATACCCCCCATTCTACGATAGTACTGATAATACCCCCCATTCTAGGATAGTACTTATAATACCCCCATTCTAGGATAGTACTGATAATACCCCCCATTCTAGGATAGTACTGATAATAACCCCCATTCTAGGATAGTACTGATAATACCCCCCATTCTAGGATAGTCCTGATAATACCCCCCACTCAAGGATAGTCCTGATAATACCCCCATTCTAGGATAGTCCTGATAATACCCCCACCCTAGGATAGTCCTGATAATACCCCCCATTCTAGGATAGTACTGATAATACTCCCCCCCCCCCCCCCATTCTAGGATAGTCCTGATAATACCCCCCACTCAAGGATAGTCCTGATAATACCCCATTCTAGGATAGTCCTGATAATACCCCCCATTCTAGGATAGTCCTGATAATACCCCCACTCTAAGATAGTCCTGATAATACCCCCCATTCTAGGATAGTACTGATAATACCCCATTCTAGGATAGTCCTGATAATACCCCCCATTCTAGGATAGTCGTGATAATACCCCCCACTCAAGGATAATCCTGATAATACCCCCCACTCAAGGATAGTCCTGATAATTCCCCCATTCTAGGATAGTCCTGATAATACCCCCCATTCTAGGATAGTCCTGATAATACCCCCCATTCTAGGATAGTCCTGATAATACCCCCCACCCAAGGATAGTCCTGATAATACCCCCATTCTAGGATAGTCCTGATAATACCCCCCATTCTAGGATAGTCCTGATAATACCCCCCATTCTAGGATAGTCCTGATAATACCCCCCACTCAAGGATAGTCCTGATAATACCCCCATTCTAGGATAGTCCTGATAATACCCCCCACTCTAGGATAGAACTGATAATACCCCCACTCTAGGATAGTACTGATAATACCCGAACTCTAGGATAGAACTGATAATACCCCCACTCTAGGATAGTACTGGTAATACCCCCACTCTAGGATAGAACTGATAATACCCCCACTCTAGGATAGTACTGATAATACCCCAACTCTAGGATAGAACTGATAATACCCCCACTCTAGGATAGTACTGGTAATACCCCCACTCTAGGATAGAACTGATAATACCCCCACTCTAGGATAGTACTGATAATACCCCCACTCTAGGATAGAACTGATAATACCTCCCACTCTAGGATAGTACTGGTACTACCCCACTCTAGGATAGTACTGATAATACCCCCCATTCTAGGATAGTACTGATAATACCCCCCACTCTAGGATAGTACTGATAATACCCCCACTCTAGGATAGTACTGATATTACCCCCCACTCTAGGATAGTACTGATAATACCCCCCATTCTACGATAGTACTGATAATACCCCCCCATTCTAGGATAGTACTTATAATACCCCCATTCTAGGATAGTACTGATAATACCCCCCATTCTAGGATAGTACTGATAATAACCCCCATTCTAGGATAGTACTGATAATACCCCCATTCTAGGATAGTCCTGATAATACCCCCACTCAAGGATAGTCCTGATAATACCCCCATTCTAGGATAGTCCTGATAATACCCCCACCCTAGGATAGTCCTGATAATACCCCCCATTCTAGGATAGTACTGATAATACTACCCCCCCCCCCCCCCCCCCCCCCATTCTAGGATAGTCCTGATAATACCCCCCACTCAAGGATAGTCCTGATAATACCCCATTCTAGGATAGTCCTGATAATACCCCCCATTCTAGGATAGTCCTGATAATACCCCCACTCTAAGATAGTCCTGATAATACCCCCCATTCTAGGATAGTACTGATAATACCCCATTCTAGGATAGTCCTGATAATACCCCCCATTCTAGGATAGTCGTGATAATACCCCCCACTCAAGGATAATCCTGATAATACCCCCCACTCAAGGATAGTCCTGATAATTCCCCCATTCTAGGATAGTCCTGATAATACCCCCCATTCTAGGATAGTCCTGATAATACCCCCCATTCTAGGATAGTCCTGATAATACCCCCCACTCAAGGATAGTCCTGATAATACCCCCATTCTAGGATAGTCCTGATAATACCCCCCATTCTAGGATAGTCCTGATAATACCCCCACTCTAGGATAGTCCTGATAATACCCCCCATTCTAGGATAGTCCTGATAATACCTCCCACTCAAGGATAGTCCTGATAATACCTCCCACTCAAGGATAGTCCTGATGATACCCCCACTCTAGGATAGTCCTGATGATACCCCCCATTCTAGGATAGTCCTGATAATACCCCTCATTCTAGGATAGTACTGATAATACCCCCCACTCTAGGATAGTTCTGATAATACCCCCATTATAGGATAGAGTGCAGTTTTGTTGTTGACACATGTAAGTATGAGTTATTTTTACTGATGATGCCCCCACTCTAGGATAGACTGCAGTATTGTTGTTGACACATGTAAGTATGAGTTATTTTTACTGATGATGCCCCCACTCTAGGATAGACTGCAGTATTGTTGTTGACACATGTAAGTATGAGTTATTTTTACTGATGATGCCCCCACTCTAGGATAGACTGCAGTTTTGTTGTTGACACATGTAAGTATGAGTTATTTTTACTGATGATGCCCCCATTCTAGGATAGAGTGCAGTACTGTTGTTGACATATGTAAGTATGAGTTAGTTTGCACTGATGATACCCCCACTCTAGGATAGACTGCAGTATTGTTGTTGACACATGTAAGTATGAGTTAGTTTGCACTGATGATACCCCCACTCTAGGATAGAGTGCAGTATTGTTGTTGACACGTGTAAGTATGAGTTATGTGTACTGAAAATATCCCTACTCTAGGATAGAGTGCAGTATTGCAACCACCATGTCTTTTCATCCAACAAATATTTTTTGTCACATTTTTCTCTGAAACTACTTAATAGAATACCTTCAAATTTGGTTATCAGCTTAATGGTGATGGATTGTAAAGTGCAAGCAGTTTTTGGATCAGTCAGATTCGAACTTCTTGTCTGCTGATACTTTTTTCAATATGTTAAATGAACCTTAATTTTTCATCACTCTTCTCTCAAGTACTGCTGAACATAATTTGGACAGCAGTTCAGCAGTGAAAAGTTGAGCTTGTTTTTATGAGCATTTCAGATCTGTCAGACACTTACTTCCTGTTATTAACTATCAATACAATACAATATGCTTTATTTAAAAACACTCAAGTACTGCTGAACAGAATGGCTTCATATTTGGACAGCATTTTAAATGTGATAAATTGAGCTTTTTTTATGAGCATTTCAGATCTGTCAGACATTTACTTCCTGTTTTCAAATACTGTGAATTATGAGTGGGTGTATGCTAAGCATGACAATGTGAAAATTATTATCATCAAAATGCACCAAATGATTCATTTGACAGAGATATTTTGAAGCTATTCTGGTAGTACTTTTAAAGAACTGTAAAAAACACATGCCCTCTTTTATCACGTGCCCTGTAAAAATGTAGGTATAGGATATTCTGTATATCTGGGTTTTGTTGTGTGTGAAAGTCTTTATGTTAGAAATCCACATAAGTATATAAGTACTTTTTCCCCAAATCTATCTTATTAAGTTACTTTGACATGCTATTTAAGCTTAAGTGACTTTGATGAATTTTTCATTTAGGATCTTTTTTCAAGAAGCCACAAAGATTTTTCAATGATTTTTCAAAGTTTCATTTCCCTTGTACAGATTATACAGTACCAGTTAAAACACATGTGTTGTAGGTATCATTTTAACAATAGTTCTTATCATATTATAGGTCAGGCAGCAGGCATTAGTCAGAAAGCTATCAAACTTCGACCGATTGCTGTAATCAAAGGATGATTTAGGCTTACAGTTACTTGGCATAAATGGTGCTGGTGGTAGATCAATCCAAGCTTGTGTGATATAGACCTCATCGAAACATTGTGCAATGTTGAAATGCAAAGATGTGTTCCATTTCATGATATTATCTAAATGTGTTAATATTCCTTTTGATCTGGTATCTAAACTCGAAGGGCAACATCACTACCTTTACATCATGTATACGAAAGAAACTTTTAGTTCTCCAGTGTTCTTCGTACTGAATTGACCTCTTGTGTGTTGCTCATGCACCATATTATCCAGGAAATCTCCAGTGTTCTTAATAAATTGACCTCTTGTTTGTTGTTCATGCACCTTATTGACAAAGATAATAATCCTGTATAATCCATTTGTATCATCTGATTTATACAGGCAATTTCACGTAAATATCCTGTGAACTTTTCATATTTAGTATTTAGAGAAGTATATCACAAGTAACCATCATGTAAATTTTACAATAGATATTTTCGGTTTTATGAGTGTACGCATGAACATTATGTGAATTAGCTTAATCATCTAATTTTTGTATCAAATTTTAAAAATTATGAGCTTTTTTAAAAAAAAACAAGAACAATTAATCCTGGAAAATTATTGATTTAAATTAACTTAAAATTCATGTAAAGTTAATGTTCACTGACAGCTAAATTTGTTGTGAATTTACATGCTATTTTCAATGTAAAATCTCATTTCTCAAGAAATTCACACAAGTGAAAAAGAATTTGTATATAAGTCAAGCATGTTACTTTAAAATAATAATATTTATCAGATTTGAATGAGTTTTTGTAATCAGTTGTTATTTTCGGATATGATTAATAGTGAAATATAACAAGATGAAATACATTTACATGAACAATCTGGGATTTTGAGATTCAGTTTCTAATCTCTTTTTTAAATTTGATGGATAGTTGTCTCATTGGTAATTATAGCATATCTCCTAATATTTATGTTTTATACGTAAAAAAAAATTTTGAAAAAAAATTGATATTTATGTAAAAAGTGTAATTGTTTAGAAATCCATGAGTGTGAACACAATCTTGTGCACATTGGCACACTTTATAACAAGACTTTGTTTACCAATTCCAAGATCCTTATCCATTTTGTATTGTAAAGAACAATCACAAATTGTTGATATATAAAAGAAGTTTTGTTGAGGCGGTGATATCTTTGGTTAGTTCCAATTTGTTACATCTGATGTAGTTCACTTCACATTTTTGTTATGTCTCTTTGTCTGTATGTTTAAAACCTGTTTAAGGTAAAATTAAATCAATTAGAAAACAAAAACTAATCCAAGTCATGGGGGGAGGGGGGGTCTCAACATACAAATTTTGGTACAGACGTCCAGCTGTGGTTTGTTACACATCAATTACTTTGTTCAACCTTCATGGAAGGTTGGGATTGACTTTGGGGGTTATGGCCAGGAACAAATACTTAAGTATTAGTCAATGGATCTCTATAAAATTGTACCACAAGGTTCCATACCACACACAGAAAGTTGGGGTCGATTTTGTGGGTTGTGGCTTTAATCGTTAAGAAACTAGAGGCCAAATAGGGGCCAAAAACAAGACTTTTCTAATTCTGGCTAAGCTGGTTCTAACATAAATTATTTCTGATCTATATAAAGAAACAAAAAATACTGATATGGCAGGAGATACACATCAAACAGGGTGTGTAAATTGTTATATTTAGTTTGTAAACAGATTTACTAAGTATTGCCCAACAGCAAAGTATTGCACAACAGCAAGAAATCTTCAGTTGAAAATAAATACAAATCTTTTAACCAATTTCAATGAGGATTATTTTAAAGTCTTGAATTGTTTGATGTTTTTATCATGTATTACTATATTGGATATTTGGACATTTTTAAATAGGTCTACATTGAGGTCCAAAGGGTCCAATATTAGACTTTATTTGATTTCATCAAAAACTGAATTCTTGTGGTTCTATGATATGCTGAATCTAACTGTGCATTCAGATTTTTAATTTTGGGTCCTGTTTTCAAATTAGTCCATATTAAGGTCCAAAGGGTCCAAAATTAAACTTTGTTTGAATTCATTTTTTTTTTTATATGCTGAATCTAACCATGGAATTAAATTTTGGATATTGGACCATTAAGTAAATTAAATGTCCCATTTCAAATTTTTCAGTTATCTGATCACATTTATTCTGTGTCAGAAATCTATAATGTGTCAAATATTTAATCACTATCCAAATTCAGAGCTGTGTCAAACTTGAATATTGTGTCCATACTTGCCCCAACTGTTCAGAGTTCGACCTCTGCGGTTGTATCCAGCTGCTCCAGGCGGAGCGCATTTTTTACAGTTAACATTGAAAGACAGTCTGGGATAAAAAAAAATTTACATGATAAATTTGTGTTTCATGTATTGTTATGAAACTTGTATCTTCAAGACCAAAAAATAGCATCTAAAGAAAAAGTTGAATATTTTTTTTAATTTTGTATTTTGCTGATAAATGGACTCACTTTTTAAGTTAACATTACACTTTAACACTGACAGCAGCAATCGCAGGTGAGACACAGGGTTCCGCCGAACCCCTTATGAATTTTATATATTTCTCAGCTATTATGACATCTTATTTAGACATTAACTACATAAGATCGTTCATATTATTAGATAAAGAGATCAGAACACATTTTTTACATACATCTTTATAGAAGATGAACATTTATGACTCATTGACATGTAAAAACCTACCCATTGATACATTACCTCCGTGAAATTGCACCCCATTGGTATGGTTGACATTCCAAAATAGTGACTCATACCAGTGGTACGTCTGTGTAAACCTTTATATAGGAAGAGAGTCCCCCCCCCCCCCAAAAAAAAATGCCAAAAGTACTCAGCGAAGTATAAAAAAATTATTCAAACACTCCATTGATATATTTTAATATTGATTTTATTTCTTCCTTTTTATAAAACTACTGCAAGGTAAATTTTGTATACTGTGGATTCATTATTATTCGTTGGATACCAATTTTCGTGGATTTCGTGGTTACCCTTAAACCACGAATTCCAATGTCTAACGAATTACAAATTTTCTATAGGAATGTATGCAGACTTTGGAAAAACCACGAAATCAAATGTCCACGAAAATGCAAGTTTTCCTCAATCCACGAAAATTGGTACCCACGAAAATAAATGAATCCACAGTATCTAGTTACTTTTGACCTGACACATAGTTTTGCTACATTAGTGCTAATTTGTTATATTGTTTTTGTTAGAAGATTGGTACACTAACAAGAAGGAAATATTGTTTTTATTACTGCATGTAAATTCAGAATTTTTTGCCAGCATTTATTATTACCATTTATGAAGAATGGGAAATTTATCATTCCAACATTAGTAAATGCAGCATACAAATAATACTATCAAATTTTTTTTATCAGTTTTATTTTTTGTGATACCTATTTCATCACAATTTTTACAATAATAAAAACATTGAAAAATTTCTGAATTTACTGTATTGTACAATACAATTAGTGGCCATCATCTGTAGCATAATAGAATGTACAAGTATAACTACATATCAAAATCATGTGACATTAAATTCATGTATTGTGGGACTTGCACAGGAGTTATAATGGGATTTGAATCCCAGTTGAATTTATTTAAGTTATTAGATGTTGTCATGAAAAGCATAAAGAAATAAAACTAATTCAATTTACTGGTAGTTATCTTGTCTTTTTCTTTTTCATGATGTACCAGTAGCCATTGTTTATTAATGTCCCAGCTGCTATTGTTTATTAATATCCTAGTAGCCATTGTTTATTAATGTCCCAGGAGCCTCATTAGTGGTTGTCTTAAGCAAGATTTGATGACCAGCAAATCAGAACTTCAAATAAGTCAACCTGCCTGAGATTGTCAGGTGACCCCTTGTAGGATTAGTTGCCTTTGAATGATGATTTTTACCTTTTTTGTGTTTTTTGGCTATAATTTTGAAAAAGTAAATTAGATATAGATAGTTTTAACTGGAAAAATGACGATCTACAAATAATTGATATAAGAAGATGCGGTATGAGTGCCAATGAGACAACTTTCCATCCAAGTCACAATCTGTAAAAGTAAACCTTTATAGGTCAAAGTACAGCCTTCAACACGGAGCCTTGGCTCACACCGTACAGCATGCTATAAAGGGCCCCAAAAATTACTAGTGTAAAAGCAACCAAACAGGAAAACCAACGGTCTAATCTATATAAAAAACGAGAACCGAGAAACACTTATGAACCACATCAACAAATGACAACCACTGAAAATCAGGTTCCTGACTTAGGACAGGTGCAAACAAATGCAGTGGGTTTAAACGTTTTAATAGGCGCCAACCTTCACCCTACCTGAAACAATAGTGTAACATCACAACATAGAAAGACACACTATAAAATATCAATTGAAATGGCTCAACTCAATCAAAAGACATATTAACAAAAACAAGTGAACATACACTGAACGAATAAATTTAATCTATGACACAATATAAATACAAAATTAATAAAACAAGGGGGTTAGATGTTTAATAATATTAGAAAGACAACCATAACCTTGGACAAAATGCCGCCAACTAAAATAACATACACGGGTCAATAAAAATAATTTTGTTGTAAGGTATACATGGAGTACGGAAATAATTTTGTTGTTCCTAGTACGAGAACAAAAGTGAAAATTTATCGACATACTAAACACTTATCAAAGGTGGTATATATTAAAAATAGTGAGACTAGATATAACACTGATTAAGTAAATATTAAATAACAAAAATGCATTACAAATTGTATCAACAGGTCAAATTAACACGAAAGTACGATTTGAGAGTACTCTCAGTTACTGAAAGCTATTTAAAAGCCAAAAACAATTAATGATAAAAAATCATGCATCAGAGACTAAAATCAACTAAAACACATCCCAGGGATTTAGTGTTTTAACTACATACACCATATCTGGATTTCGACAATTAATGTCTCTTCAGTGATGTTAGGAATCGAAACGGTATTTGGAAGGCCATATAATTTACCTCAATTTAGGATAGACTCTTGAATTTTGAGGAGTCGAAATAGGATGAACAGATCATATAAACCCAAAGGCAAATATAATACAAGCCCAAACAAAAAAAATACAATATATAGATAGAGTAATCTCTATATAGAAAATGAACATGGATGTGTATTTATACATCCCAAAAAAACGTTTCAAAAGAATACAAATTTAGTTATGTTTTAATGTGCTGATGACAAAATGGATATTTGTGCCAATGTAAACTATATTCAAAGATCTAATTACAACATTGGTAAGATAACCTTTACTAATAAGTTTGTTTAAAGGTGTGATGAGTTTACACGGATCACATAGTGATTTCCGCTCTTTTAGTACAATATTACCGTAAAATTTAGGATGTGAAATACCATTTTTAATATGTTTTCTACAGGTACAGCCAAATTTACTAATCAAATCTTTGTATCTATGAAAAATTAAGTAAAAGTTTTAAGCAATTTATGGTAACGAAATCCCTGACTTAATAATTTACCAGTGATGCATTGATTACGTTCGTTAAAATCTATGACATCACTACACACACGAGCATAACGAACGAGTTGGGATATATAAACACCGTATGATGGAGCCAAAGGAACATCGCTGTCTAAAAAGGGAAAATTAACAATAGGGAATGAAAAATCGTCTCTTTTGTCATAAATTTTAGTATGGAGTTCCCCTTTAAAAATTGAAATGTCTAAATCTAGAAAAGGACAACTACTGCTGTTTATATTAGATTTATTTAAAGTAAGTTCCTTTGGGTAAATTTCGGTAGTATATTTAGAGAACTCTAGATTATTTAACGAAAAAATATCATCAAGGTAACGGTAGGTATTGTTGAATGTATCAACCAAATGTAACAATGACATGTCTTTACTGAGTTTGGTCATAAACTGAGATTCATAGCAATACAGGAATAAATCTGCTATTAAAGGGGCGCAGTTAGTGCCCATATGAATACCTACTACCTGTCGATACATTTTATCGCCTAAACGTACATATATGTTGTCCAGGAGAAAATTAAAAGCTTCAATCATATCTTCACATTTCCAGTAAGTGTATCTAGCATACTTTCCTTTTTCGTTACAGAAAAGGCTTTAACTGAGTTACAGCAAATAAATTGCAATGAGATTTTTCAAAAGACCATTTAATTAAATGTGAAAACTTTTTCTTGATAAGATTGTGTGGAAGTGTAGTGTAGAGAGTAGAAAAATCATAACTGTCAACAGAATTAAAAGGACCATCAAAAGCATGTTTTTTATCTAAAACCTCTAATGAATTTTTAACACTCCAAAAATAATTAATACCATTATTTTCATAAGCTTTATCACAAAAGTTAATACAAGTTCTTTGATAGTAGTAAGGGAGGTAGTTAGAAGCACTGACAGATTAGTAGTAGAAAACTTACTAGATGAGGAGATGAAAAGGAATTTAAATGGTTGTTTGTGTAATTTAGGTATAGTCGGGACTTTCTAATGTTCAAAAACAGACATATAACAAACACAGGGCAAAAACAGAGATCAACATAGCCAAAATCATTGGCTGACTCCTTAAAGGAGTTATTTCCCTTGAATAACAGTGTTTTATGATAGAAACTTTACTAAATAGAGAGAAACTGTAAATAGCAAAAATGATCAGCATAATAAAATCATTAAATAAGTAGGAGTTATTGCCCTTAGTTTGTGATTTGTTTTTTTTATTTTTGCATTTTTACCTTACAGGTGTAATACCACCAAATCATAGTACATCACATCCGGTTTCAATCAAAAAAGGGTTGAAAAAAAAATTCCCTTGAATTTGACAGTTGTAGGAAATAAATCCTACATTTCATTGCAGTAAGAAATTTCTGAGTCATAAACATATATCTTGGGTGTTTTAAAGCACCCTTCTTTTTTTTTGGGTGATTCTATCAAATATTTTGGAAACTTGAGGTTACATAGTTACTAAAGCTTGTAAACGGGAAACAATGGGGTGAAAATTTGATTGGTTAACTTCCACTGATGGTTATTATCTTATTTGCAATGCAATGTTATGTGAAATTTTGTCTATAGTACTGGACAGGATAAAACTTTACTCATGCCAAGTATTTCTTTATTTGAAACATAGATAAATTCTGCACAATTTTTTGAAAAGTGCCAATTTAACAAAATCTAATGGGGAAAAAAACAATGGTGGTATTACTCCTACATTTTAAAAGCTATAAAAATTATCAATTGAATACTTTCATGAATTATTGCCCCTAAATTAAAAATTTATCAATTTTTTGGTTCCTTTTTGCTTGCCATCTTTAATACTATAATGGATATAATGAAACTTGGTCCTGCAAAAATGACCAGCATGAGTTTGGCCAACACAGTTTCCATTCAACACAAATATTCTTGTATCAATTTTTATGCAAAAATCCCAAGCCTCTAGAGTTGTGTCCCTTGTTTCTAAGAATAATAGTTTATTTTTGGGTATTTGTCTGTCAATGACACAACAATCCAATGAGGAAAATAACTAAAAGACATCTACAGGGCCATGGTAGTTGGGCTATCAAAAATTGGAAAAATCATTTGATAGCTTAACAACAATGGCCAGATGCTATGAGATTGTAATTCAATGCTTTTACTTACTTTTCTACACAGGTCAAGAAAATTTTTGCTATTGGGGAGGGGGAGGTGGGAGACAAAAATAGGTGGGAGATAAAAAAACATTCTAAAAGTGGGAGGTGGGAGAAGGGTGCCCCCTGTCCACCCCCTCATTGGTTCCAAGGGAGATACTATTATTCTACATAGTGATAAGTTGGCTAGGTATATTGTTTTACCCCAATGTATCCTATCATTTGTTTGACCACATTTCAGTGTGTGGGCTTATGATGTGAATTGTTAAAATTATATGCCAAATTACGGTTTCAACACATATTTCATAGTGTACTTAACATGGAAATGTGAAATTGTGAAATCAGTAGATTCTCTGGTACAAGTCAAGGTAGTTTACCATGAAGTTGTGGAACTAAGTACACATGTTCATAATGATGTCAGTTTTTATAAATCGTTGCTTTATCACAGTTTTGATCTTGATATCATGGTTCACATCACATGGTTCAATTAACATGAAAATGAGGGAGTGCCAGCAGTGCTTATCATATATTTATTTCAAAATGCACAATGAACCCAACTTACATGCAACTTATAGAAAAATGAAAATATAAGAACATTGTGAAGCAGCTCAATAAAATTTAACTTATGTTGATGTGTAATACAAAAATTTAATCAACTTTAGAAACAATACTGTTCACTTGTAATTTTATTTTACTGTAATGAGAATTTATCAAAACTTTTAAAGGGGCGTTAGCTGTCAAATTTATGTTCACCGATTTGACTCAAATTCTCAAATTTGATTTATAACATACTACAAAAACGTATATCCAAATCATAAAAAGTCTAATAGCAAGTGAATAATTCATTAGTGATGTTTCTTTGCTTATTTTGACAATACTGAACCAAACTGGCTGCTAAAAGCGAATTTATATCACTATTTCATTTTTATTAATGATTGAACAATAAAAAAAATCATATTTTATTTTTTCCTATATCTCGTAGCTAATGCCCCTTTAAATAAACCCAATTCAACTATTTTATTGCAAAAAATACCGGTTTA